ATATATATATAATATTTTAACTACCGAGTATGAATCTTGACTATAACCTTCCAGAAATGATAATTTCTTAAAGAAAATAAAATAAGTTATTGTATTTTCTACAGCATTAAAATTAAATTCATTGACATGAAAATATAGAGACTTTTATCACGTTTGATTGAAAATATAAATACTAAAAATATTTTTTTTTCTTATAAATAAGCTATTGATGCATTTGTTTATATTTAAAAAATTATTTCCTACACTACAAATCTTAAACAAATAACATAATAATCATATTTTAACTAAGTTTAAATAACAAGATCTTTAAAATTAAAAAATCAAAGCAAACCAAAAAAAATGATTTCATTTGATTTAAATTTCACGATATAACCACTTAATTTCCTTATTTGACTTTGAATCTTAAAAGTGGAACCAAACCGCGACACCCTTGCTTGAAGAATCTATTAATTTATGATTTGCACATGAGTTGCTAATACTAGATGAGATGAGACAGCAATTCCCATCAAAATTGGCTGTGAATGAAGTAACTTATGTTTTCGAATTGACACACAATTCGAGTCATTCAGGCCCACACTCACGCCATTTTCTTTAGGAAACCAGACAACAACATCTAACAAATATTATTAACATCTTATATTTTATAACTATTTTTAAAGTTACTTAGATATTTTAACTGTTATTTATTAATTAATATAATTTTATTTAAAAGTGTTTTCTAAAAATAATAAACACAATAAATGATTCTAAACAAGTCTTATAAAAATATTAAAATAACCTTTTAAAAATTATTTTGAGAAATATCAAAAAAAACATTTCAAAGAAAATAAGACTTTAAATTTAAAAATCAATAAGAATTATTATGTTTGAAAATAAGCTAAAATTTACACGCTAAATTATGTATAAATTTATTGAAATTACTAAGGAGGTTAAATTAAAATCTCCAACTCTCAGAGTGAAGTTCCTTATAGAAAAACAATTTAAATAATTGATATATAATATGGTATCAAGTATCAACCTCGAAAAAAATAATCTAGATTAGTAGATCCGACAATGGACCGTGTTTCTACTTTCTACTTTCTATCTTTGTTGGAAGAAAATGAAAATAGGAAATATAATAATTTGCACGTGAAGCGCTGAAGGTTGGGCTTCGCCTCGCCAGCTGTACCTTTCAGACAGGCAAGCGTAATCGGATATCAATCCACTATTTATAAAATGAAAATTACCCCTTCAAGTCTTATTTCAAGCAAACTATGGAACCTATACTAAATTAGAAATTTAGAGTTTATACTTGCAGTATGCACATGACGTTTTTCTTGTAAGCCCTTCAACACTCATCAAATGAAGTATTCTCTAATGCAGTGACCGATTTAGGATCGTGGGAGCAAAATCTTTAAAATTATTATTATTATTGGAGTCAAGTTCATATCTCTATATTTTAATTAATAAAAATATTTAAAAATTATTAATATTTATTAATAACTATTTCTTAATATTATTTTTCATTATTTAAAAATTTAAAGATAAAATTATCTAAAAATTTTGTATACTAAATCAAGCTATCACCTTTATATATCTTATCAATTATTATTATGCTTAAATATATTTTTAATATCTTAAATTTAAAATTATTATTTTTAATCATTACAAATTTTAAAAATCTTATTTTAAACTCTTAAGTCATCAATAAGTCAATAACATATATAAAAATGACAAATTAAAATAATTATGCAGTATCTATGATTTTTCATCAACAAAAACACTGAATATCGATAAATTTTTTAAGAAAAAATTGAGCGTAAAGATTAAAATAAACTTTTTTTAAAATTACAAGAACAAAAATATTTAATTTTAAATTTGAGAGACTTAAAAAGTTATCTTAAGTTTGATGGAATAAAAAACATATTAAGGCATTATTATTATTATTATTATTATTTAATGTAATTAATTATAAAGTGAAATAAAAAAATCCAATTGAATAGTGCGTAAAAAACCGGAAGAGCTAAAAATGAAATGAAAAGTTAAAAAAAAAAAAAAAAAAGTTGTCATCAATAAAAGATAAAATTTAACAATAGAGTAACAGAGTTGTTCAATTCAAATATATAAAAATAGGTGGGTAAAATGCAAAAATTGTTTATGCATATTTATAATTTTTTTAAAAGTGGGGTGCATTTAAAGAGGTCCGCCACAGCTCTAGTGCAAAGCCCTGCATAACAGTTGAAGAAAATATGTTCGAACCTACAAAATACAAATTTAAGAGGCAAATAAACACATTTAATTTTCAGGTTCTCAAGTCAAGCAAAATAAAACAAGGAAATATTCTTTGATCACATGAACCAAATATCAGTGCGAAGTTGATTAATTGCAGCAAAAAATTTACTATGCAACTTGGTATCCCAAAACAAAACAAGAAAAAGAATAAATATTTAAGTAGACATTAATATTAATGAAATTAGTTTCTCTATGCATCAACAATATTTAGATTTTAGATAGACCCTAATATAAGGGTATTCTGCCAACTTTCTTTTTATGATCATCAAGATACAAACATTGCACCGGGCAGTCAATATAGAAATATAGGCCTAAACAAAACTCGCACCGTAATAGCTGCTATAATATGAATAATGTCTACCTCAATAAAACAGATGAAGTCATCCCCACTTTTTGATAATGGTAAATTCTATTATAAATATCCGGTTTCTCTACATCTTAATAGGTGAATCAAGGAATGGCCACTAATTTTTTAGTGCATAATGCTTGAAAATAGTGCCATCAACTCGTATCTTGGGTACTAAATCCCATCTCTTCAATGCCTTGTGCAAGATGATGAGAATGGTGTTGAGGATAAGGGGTTTACTACACATATATATACATGTCTCTATGTTAGTGAGATATTGTTCATTTTGGGACCAAGCTCTCACGGATGTATTTTTGGACATCACCCAAAAGGTCTCTCAACCAATAGAGACAACTATATGTATATAAACTCATGTCCATCCTTTTATTTGAACGATGTTAGACTTTGTTTGCATCCCAACAAATGGTGCTGCCCTTTCTTATACACTACTAATTTTAAGTTTATGTACCAGGGAAAAATGAAAAACAGAATTCAGAAATATTCAGTCACATATCTATCAAACTTCTTGTATATTCAAGTCTCTCTGGCTAATTGGCTTGCAATCAGCTATAAGTTAGTGCCTGAATATCTAACATTATTTAAACCTCTTCAACTTCAAGCGTTCAAGCATCTAGAAGAGTAACTTTATACCAAGATTCATTCATGTTTTGCCTTTATAAAAGCAATGGATGCTCCTTATGAAGATTTGTCGCAAAGATTCAAGGATTCACTTCGCTGAGGGAGTATGTGTTCACACACTTCAACCGGTTATTATACGAGTAAACTCTGCCAGGTGATAAACTTGTCAGGACCACGGATCCTCTATAATGTAGTCTCACTCGGGAATTCTGACTTTCTGACCAAAGCCCAACTTCATGCAAATCTCCTTCTTTCCAGCAAATGTTAACTGTCACCCCACCACGTGCTTTTAATCCTTTCACACAACCATTGCCCCATTTATCCCGCGGCAACGCCGGAAGCAAGTACAGATCCGTCATTGTGCTTTGAACAAGCATTTCTGCAATTGCTGCTGTAAAACTGACACCAAACAAAAACAATGCTTTCTGTCAATCAAACTAATTCAAAATGAGTATCTTTGCCAATTTGTTAATGCTAGCATCAGTTTATATTAGAAAAAATCCAAGTCTCACATCGATTAGTAGAGAACAATTCTCACCTTACAAGTCGGTTTTGTAGGGTTAAGTTAGACTCAAAAAATCCAAGTCTCACATCGATTAGTAGAGAACAATTCTCATCTTACAAGTCGGTTTTATAGGGTTAAGTTAGACTCAAAAAATCTAAGTCCCACATCGACTAGTGGAGAACAATTCTCACCCTACAGAACTATCTAGATCCACTTTAAATAGGTCACCTACCATTGATACATGCACTATAAGTATAAAGTAGTATATTGCTCTCTATTTATATACTATTTAATTGTCTTATCTCTAGTCGATATAGGACTTGGATTTTTCCCAATAATTTCTTCACAAACTAGAAAAGGTTTCTACATATAACTTCCAAACATGTGGATGAATTTTAAAATAATACAATGCCGCCATGGTTCCAATTAAAAATTTATAGAATGAAATGAAATTTTCCACATTTAGGGAATTGCTTTTAGTTAGATTTATTCAGTTTGAAATATGATTGAAGAAATTAAGAACCGAAGTCCAGAGTTGTGATGTTGATAAGATGCAACATATTCAAGATATGATAATTGCACAAATGTTCAACACAAGGAAAAATAAAAAGTTGAAGACTTAACATGAAAGGTAGAATTTGAACTTCTACCACAAGATTCAAGTTTCATGATATTAAAACTTCATTGTTTCTGCAACAGCAGAACTACTCCCTCCTTCCCCATAAATGAGAGAGAAAGTGAAATTGACATGATACACAGATTTACAGTTCTAACACAGATGGGCCTTACCCAAAGTTTGCATCAATCTGGAAAGGGGGATGTGCGTGAACAAGTTGCTGTAAATTCCTCCTTCAAAAGCACGTTCATGACCAGGGTGCACCAAGACAATCAAGTGTTTTATCATGCGATATGCGCGCTCACTATTGTGAAGATGTGCCCACAGTGAAGCTTTCCAAGTTGTTGACCACCCTGGACCATCATCTCCTGTAATACAGTGCAAGAATGTTATTTACTGTTGAATTGTAATATTTACTTTTAGCATTGAAGATAAAAATAATACAGATTTGTGTCATGTAGTCATATATACAAGGTTGAACATAAACACAGTAATTCCTAATTCAATAAAGCCATATACAATTCCTGGAGTACCATTAAAATTGTCTACTAAACTAACTAGAGGCTTAAAGACAGCACAGTCTATGTATTTCGAAAGTACTCTCAGGTCTCGACACATAAAGTCATTTAAGCTATTCATAAGCAATAAACACATGGTACCATTAGACAGTATTTTATACAAGTGTCTTCCAATGAGATATTAATATTACATATGGGTTCTAGTTCATCTAAGCATATGAAATTTCAACATAACAAATAATAAGAGATGTGGTGTCATACATATTGCAAGAAAAAACAACTATTATCTTTGAAAAGAGTTTAGCTCTTGATTAAAGTTCTCATAAAAGACCTCTTTTAATTAGACTTAATTCCACAGCTTTACAAAGGTCTGGAGTTTTCTTGAGACTAATTGTGTGCCCTGGAAATAGTCCAAACAAATGCGAAACATGTCGATGATGTACATCTGGGTCCTCAAAATCTTCTGCCTGCCAAATAAGCATGGTGTAATAATTAACATGGAATTGTTGGCTTATAGTAGAACTTGATCGTTGTAAATCAGAACAAGATATTAGATGAAAAAAATTGGCCAGATGGACAGTAGAGAGATGGAGGGAAGGAATACAGATATATACCCATTCCATAATGGAACCATCTCTGGCAACTTTTGTCGGAGGAAGCCTAGATAGAGACTCAGTGACTCTTTTGATAATAGCATCATCATGTCTTCCTAAAACCTGTTTTTGAGAAATTTAGTGCCTAAGACAAAATTAGGATAATATGAGATTAGTAATTTAGTATTGGTTCGAGTGTTAACATCATTTTCACCTCAGCAGCAGAAATGATTATAGAAAAAACTTCTTTTATGATTGAAATGTCCATGGTTGATGAGTAGCTCACGCTAGCAGGCTTTCCATCTGGCGCAATGAACATGTGCTCAGGTGAAGTTGATGGGTTAGTCTCCAGTAATCCACCTCGGCCTTCAATCAACCAATCCAACAAAAATGATGTACATCCTTCCAACAAAGGATATGCTTTATTTTTAAGAAAATCCTAATATAAAAGAAAATTCAACCGTCAGTTACCTAGTAACTAATTTATGAATATATTATTTACAAATAAAACTATAGATGTATATCTGTCATCATAAAATAATAGATTTTTCAACCCTCCGTAGTCTCTATCTAATAACTAGTTTATATTTATAACCTCAAATATTCATTGGTATTGGTGAAAATGGGAGTAAATAAGTTGCATACTTAAATGAAACTTGAAATCTGCAATTACATTTGTTGGTTGTGGTTTAAAAATTCATTTGAACCTCATAATACTTGTACAACATGTTGCTCCTTGAGTTCCTGGAATTATTAATCATCGTAGCTGCACAAGGCCTTATTTTGCATTAGTATCAATTTTTGAAATTTTACTGAGTACATAAAACATATTATACCCCAAAATAGATCAACTGGTTATAAAGAACCCCATCACAACATGAAGATGAATAACAACTTTCAATATTTCAAGTCAACCATATAGTTATGCCATTAAAATAGAAGTGGATTAGTTAGGCATGCATTAAATAGGCAACTCTACAGAGTATGACAGTTCATCATCAGTAAGTTCAATAACTTGAGGAAATCTAAAACGGTTAAATCCCCTAAACAGCTCTTTTCACAAGATCAGCTTGAATCAATGCTTTAAATGAAGGGTAGGATAATTTACTGAAAAGCCAGAACTTACTTTGTCCATTGTATAAATATAATGCTCCCATAAATGGGTACAAAGCCAAGCTCCACCCATTGGCCATATAGCCCAAACGGGCTGACCTTGATATGGTGATGTTTTAGCCCATATGTCTGAAACATGATGTGTAACCCAGCCATTTGCTTCATAGTTCACCTGTACGCAAGATCAAATGAAAATCTGGATAGAACAATAAAAATCATGATACTCTCTCCAGAACTATATATAAGCAAAAAAAAAAATGGACATTTTTTGGACTAAAATGTAGACAAACTTCAAACAAGTCAAATTTATTTAATGTTCTTAAGACAATAATGAGAGTATTATTTATGATAAATGTGATTAAAAATATTTTAGAAAATGTAGTGTATATTTTATATGAAATCGTAAAAATCAAATACATTTAACTTTCTTAATGTTTGTGTAATTGGTATTTTTTACTTACATATAAGTATAGAGGGAGTAGTATGCTAGACTATATTTTCTTTTGCTCTTTGCTATAGATTTGCTGGTATGGGGGGCACGCTACAAAGTTTCTTTTAGGCGATAGCTTACAAGCATAAAGGATCTCTTTCTGAAATAGAATGACAAGAAAAACATGAAAGAAAGAGGGAAAAGAACAAAATACCTTTGCAGTTTTATTTCCATTGACTGACAAAGAGGAGATGAAATCAAATAAGGGCTCTTGACACTCGTGTAGGTTGCAAGAAAGGGATGGCCAATAATTCATTTGAAGATTAATGTTCAAGTGAGGAGCAGCCCTGGATGACATAAGAAAAATAGACAAATTACAAAATCTCAACAATTCTTCATGAAGTTACTTCTAGACATATATTTAATACTCCATATCCGTCTGAAAACTCTAAGCCAGCCCACCTTATAACCTAGAAATTACAGCATAAAAATTCTTTTTAATTTATTTATTATTAGAAGAGGGATAAAAAGAGAAGGGAAGACATACTCCCATGCAGGCTTAACATCTTTGTTCCAGATACCCTGTAGGTTTGCCACCTGAGTCCCAGGACGAGAACAAGAGATTAGCAGATATCGACCATATTGAAACAAAAGCTCCACAAAGGAGGGATCTTCATCAGTTTGAAAAGATTTGACTCTTGCTGACGTTGGAATGGAATCATCACCTCCCATTTGAGAGATGTTGGTTTGGGAAGAAACCAATTTCCTTCCATTCAAAACAGATTTTCCTAAAACAGTTTTGGAGCTTTTAAAGAGTTGCAATGAGACACGATGAAATAGATTTTGATAGTCATCTAAGTGGCGTGCATAAAGATCAGCATATGATATTGTTTTTACAGAATTCATTTTACTGAGGGACTCAGAAGTAGGATCCTTCTTGGAGTCTTCAGGCTTAGTAAATGGTCCATCAAAGGAAGAAGAAGCTGTCAAAAGCAAAATAGCCCAATCTGAGCCTTCAACTCTTAGCTTCTTATCATCCAAAACATGTATAACCCCTTTATTACTAATCTGCATATCAAGAACTGCAGAAAACTGAATTCCCTTCAGATTCGGATCGTCAATTGAATTCACTTTTGGACGGATGCTCCTGCCAGGACAGCTTCCTTCAATTATTATCTGATTTTGGCCACTTACCCTTGAACCGTGATGCATTTTGCTATCAAAATACACTGTAAAGGATAATGACCCAGGTTTGCTAGCTGAAAACCTTGTCACAATGACTTGGTCCGGGTTAGAAGCAAAATGTTCTCTGGTAAATTCTACATCTCCTACAGAGTATTTTATTTTTACTGTTGCAGTATCCAAATCCAGCTCCCTAAGATAAGTCTCTTTTGAATATGTAAGATGAGAATCATCAAATTCTAACTTGATATCGCCAAGAAGTTGGTATACCTTCATATAAAAAAATAACAGTTAGGGATGAGTGCCAAGTGCCAACATTGTACAAAGCTTCTTTAACACATGCACCAATGAACACCAAATAAGCACACATTTAAAGAGGGGACGGTGAATGAGAACAATAAATAGCATAGTTCCTGAAAACATAGAGCAAGGATGGTTATAGTTATTGTAATAAATATATTACATACATCAGAAGGAGTTCCGAACAACTTGACAGCTGCTGCCGTAGCTTCAGAGAATTTTCCATCATCAACAAGCTTTCTGACTTCAGCCAGTGCTTGTGAAGCATTTTTGTCCACATAGTTTCCAGGAGTTCCAGTCCAAAGCGTGTCCTCTAAGAAACAATTTTAAATCATCACATTAGTTTCGAAACCCCTTTTGCAGTCATTGTAACTCAAAAACAAAAACATAGCATATTTCTCTGTATTAAATATTAATAGCATACATTTAACTCAATTTCGTTGGCATTTTGATAAACGTAAAGAAAGAGGAAGTAGAGCGAAAAGTTTTGAAGATTGGAGATGAAAGGAAGAATACCATTGAGCTGGAGAAGCTCCGACGGCACGCCACCCCAAACCATGGCCCCGAGACGGCCATTGCCGATGGGGATGGCGTCGGTCCAGTTCGTTGCAGGCCCATCAAAGGTAATCTTCAAGGGCCTCGGAGGCCCATAATTGGTTGAACTTGGCTTCCACCACTCCTTCTGTTCTCCATCTACCAAAGCAGAAGATAAGCAAAAACAGACAACACAGTAAACAACAAGTCGATGGAGCAGGGGAAGCTGAAGCTCATGGCTGTGCCTCATAGCTGTTGCCACCTTTTATCTATGGCTCTCGTTAGTTTCGGATACATGTTTTATAGAACCAAAATATGCTATTTTTGTCTCGTGCTTTTTTTTCTTCAAACTTCTTCGATTCTTTTGTATTTTTTATATTTATTTATTTATTTTTCAAACTTTAAAAATATATAAATGTACTACTTCTTAACTTAAAAAATTACGATAATTTTTTATATTAATGAATTTATTTTATAATAATCATTTTACAAGTTATATCAATAATAATTTTTATTGGTCGAAGTATAACAAATTTTACTCTTAATCAGTAATGTTTATTTCGTATGCTGAAAAATTAATAAATTTCAGCTTGTATATGATTTTTATAGTAGTTTATGGTGGTAAAGAAAATGGTAATTATTTTTAACATTTTAGAGAATGGTATCTGATATCAAGAAAACCAAAACTAAATTTTTATTTATATTTGTGTTCAGAAAATGTAGGGAACTCATAGCTGTGGGCCTGTTTTATCAATGCAACTCAGTACAGTTTTGGATATATATTTTATAAAAGGAAAAAAAAACTATTTTAGTGTCGTACTTTTTTCTCCCAAAATTCTTCAAATTTATTGTATTTTTATATATAGGGGTTTAATTTTCAAACTTTAAAAAGTATATAAATCTATTTCTTTTTAACTTTAGAAAATATGATAATTTCTTGAAGAAAATAAATTAAACTCATATTTCCTAAAGTATGAGAATCAAATTCATCAACAAAAAATATATATATAAATGTTTATCACATTTTTTTATTCATAAGAATCAAATTAGTACTAAATAATTTACAATATCTACATCATATTCAACCAAATGAACTAAACTCTCTTGAACCAGACCTTTATTATACATTTGATTAAAAATATAAAGATTAAAAATGCATTTTATCTTTTATAACATGAGTTATCAATGTTGATGTTTATATTATAAGATTCATTTCCTATACCAACTTTTTTAAATAAAATTTAGTTTACGTATAATTTTTTTTAGTAGTTTATGGTCGTCAAAATAAAATTGTAATAATTTTTTATCATTAGAAAATGTTCTCAACAATGACAACCAAACTAAATTTAATTATATGTATATAGGAATTAAAATGTATATTTTTAATTCGATAACTAAAAATTAGAATGAGAGTAAATAAAAAATAAATAAATAATGAAAAAAAAAAGTTATGTAATAATAGTCATTAAAAAAAACTTATAGACGTAAGTAGTTTTATATTGTAATTAGATTTTATACCGATATACGATTTATTTAAGTAAATATACTATTATTTTAGTAAATTGAATGTTTTGATATTAATTGATTATATAATTAAAATTTAAAAATAATAATAAATATAAAATATAATAATATTAAAAATAAGTTAAAAACGATATTAAAAAATAAATATACAATAACTTGTTAAAAATTATTTTAAAAAAATTGTAAACAACATTATAACACATATTAATAGATGCATGAATTTTGATTTTCTTATGTGTACATGTAAAATAAAAAATAATAATAATTAGTTTTAAACCAAAATAATTTAAATAGAAAAATATTAAAAGGTAAAAATATTAAGAATTTGTTGTCTTTTGATTGAGAATAATTATTTCCATACTTTTAGTTAAAATCTTTATAAATAAATAATTTTGTATTCATTTATAAGTGATTGTATAATTTTAGGAGAAATAATAAATAATTTAGAGAATGTACATTTTTATTATTGTATTTTTATCAATAATTATGTGTTATATTGTTTTGAGGTTTGTTGTTGAGAACCTTTGAGAATTATGGAATTTTTCAGGAGTTTTTAAGTATTTTATAAGATTTATCTCGATAAAATATCTAGTCTAACCTTGAGGAATCATGTTAAACGTGAGGTGAGAGAATTATCTTTACTTACATTAGCATCAAACACCAATAGAGTGGTGCCAAACACGAGAAAAAATATTTGTTTTTTCACGTTAAATGTGAGAGCCCAATGGTTCTTTATCCCATTCATATGGGGTAAGAATTGAATGATATTGAACATGAACAAGACAAAATACTCTTTGTGATGATGTCGAACATAAGGTGTGTGTAGTTTGAACATGATTTGCATTGTAAAAACTTGTTATTTGAATAATTATATGATAAACATAAATATATTAAAAAAGGCATTGCATTTTGTATGTTGATAAGTATTGTTAGTTCTATATACATTAATATGAGATAATATATATATATAAAGTCATTCAAATATTAATTAATAATAAAATATAAAAGAAATTATTACATAGTCTCTAAACTCATGAATAATTTAACCTATTATATAATATTTATATTTTTTATAATACTATATTATTTTAAGTAACTTAAATATTTTGTTTTCTCTATCCCAAACACTCTACAAATGTAATTCTTTTTAAAAGTATTTATATAATATCAAATTATAAATGGGGAAAAAAATGAAAAGTAACTTGTTCTTACCGGAGATCGGTCGTAGGGATGATCTGCTGGACAAGATTGGTGAGCCTCCTTCGCTGGGTACGCTTGTTGTTCCAAAGTGGGGGTGGTATCTGCCAAAGAGATTCTGATGCTAAAGTTAGTGTTTGTGGATGTATAGGTCTCGTATAAGTAATGCACGTACCTTAGTGTGAATTAGGGTTTATCTGGGCTTTGGGTCTGAAGTCGGTTATGACCTGTTCAGATAATGAACTTTATCTTGGTCGATGTTGTATAGCGCACGTCCGATACCGATCTGCACTATGATGCCGAGCTCTGAGCTCGGCTTCACGGTATGGATACTACACAACTGTTGTTATTTTGCTGAACAAGCTATTGTTTTTTTTCAATTGCTTTCTAATAATTTATGATTTGCACACGAGTTGCTAATATGAGATGAGAAAGCAACTCCCATCAAAATTGGTTGAGAATGAAGTAGCAGATGCTTTTGAATTGACACACAGTTCAAGTCATTCAGGCCCACACTATCTGACACCATTCTCTGTAGGAACCGGACAATGCAACAAACATCTAACACATGCAATTTCATTCATATTATTCTGTTATTAGAAGAATCCGTGTTTTGAAAAACCTCAATTAGAATCTCAGTTTCAATCACACTTTCAGAAAACAGAATCCGTGTTTGGAATAATTAGTAAAATTTTAGCTCAATCTATTAAAAAAATTGAAGATACGACGATGTTATTGTTTTAAAATATGTTTAGATATAAATTTAAAAGTACTTTTGAATTTTTTTTACTAAAATATATTTTTATTTTTATAATCTCTTAATAATCTATCTCATGTCTTGTTCTTATAAGTTTATAACCATTTGTCAAAAAGGAAATAGAAAATATAATAATTTACACGGGAAGTGGGGAAGGTTGGCCTTGGCCAGTTGTAAGTTATATAGGGCAGGTAGCATAATCATGAGATATCCGATATTTACTATTTTTTTATCATAAGTAATAAACTGATTTTTTTAATCTTAATTATAGATAATAGTTAACAAATTTTAAATTTATTGAAAGATAATTTTATTATACTCTTAATTTATTATTAATTTATTTTTTATACATTCATTTATTTTTTATTCATTAAATTAAGAGTATTTATATTAAATATAATAATCACTTAAAATAAAGGATATTTTTAGAATAAAATTTAAATTAATAGTATAATTAATTAAAATGACTATTTTAATTATTTTTCATGGTTTTAATCATTTGTCTATCTTACTTATAATTAAGACTAGAAGTAATATTTTTTTAAAGATTCTCACATGTTTTATAAAATAATATTAAGCTAATTAACTAACTTTTTTTTTCTTATTTATCCAAATTAATGATAGCTAGTGGAAGAACACACTCCATGTCTTCGTTTAAACACACAAATTAGTAGGTTAGTGCGCAGTTATTGTATAGTAAAGATTTTTGTAATATTTAATAATTTTATTTAGCTATTTTTGTTTTTATTTGAAATGTTAAAATTGTTTTAAAGATGAAAAAGATTTTTTTTCTTTTAAATATTATATCGAAAATGCAAAAGTTTAGAAATAGTAATAGACGTTTATTGATCAGTATTAGCTAAATTATAAAGATTGAGAAAAGAATAGTTGAAAATGGTTAAATAAGAAATAAAATTGAGAAAAAGTGAAAGGATATGGATGGAAGAAGGGAAAGCATGGTGTAGAATGGTTAGGAATGAGGAAGAGGAAGGGGTAAAGTTAGGAAGGAGAAGGAGATGATGAGAAAGAAATGAGGATGGTTGGTAGTAGTGAACTGAAATTCCATAGATGAGTGTAGAAAGAAATGGCGCGTTAACGTTGGATGGCTCAAATAAAACAGGGTTTTCTCGGGCCAGGTGGTGGGTTTGACCATTGGTTGCCTTGGAAAGAGCCCAGTCCCCCACACTGAGCCCAACTCTTAACTTCCCCACACACCCTCCTAAATCCTTTCTTTCCACTCTCCCATTTTACAAATGTCCCCCTCACTCTCTGCCACTTCACACTTGTTCTCTTCTCTTTCTCCAAAACCATAACTTCAAGTCTTCAACACAAAACATTTCTCTTTCACTCTCTCCAACCTTACAATACACCCCTTTCCCACCATCTCCTTTTTCTCTTAATGGAGGAGGCCAAAGAGGAACTCATCACAGGGACCAGTTTCTCTCAGTTACTGTTTGGAGATGACGATCATCATCAAACTGCATTGCCTCTTGCCGTCGACCAGGACCACTCTTGCACTTACAACCTTACCCGTTCTCCTCTTTTCTCCATTCACAACACACCCAAAATGCTATGCTTCGCCAACCATCAAAGCCAACAAGGCCTTTTGCTTCCTCAAACCAACGTAACCCCTCAGAAATCTGTCATCACTTCTAGTGACTCCTCTTCTGCTTCTTCCTGCAACTACACCAACACCTGCTCCAATTCCTTACCTAAGTCCAATGTCTGTGAGACTCTCTATATATCTTTTTCTTGCTCAGAAATTGGTGGTGGTGTTGATGTTTTTTTTTTTTTTTTTTTGGTTGAAGAGTTTGCAGAAAAAGAGAAATGGGTTGGGAAAAGAAGCAGTGACCAAGGTGGGTGTTGGAGGGCAGAGACAACCTAAGAAGACCAAAGCAGAGAACCCCACTTCAACCGGACATGCAAAGGTGAGGAAAATCATCTATGGATTGTTTGCATGTCGTTTTCTTTCTCTGTCTTTACTTTGAACTAAACCTTCTCAGAGTCACAGACACGCGACCTGTCATTTTCTAATTAAAAAAACGTAATATGATTTTGTAAGGTGGATATATGTTATATATTATTGTGTCGTAGCATGGTTTTATATAGTTTGATGAATTATTTGGAATGGCAGAGGAAGGAGAAGCTCGGGGAACGAATCGCAGCGTTACAACAACTTGTTTCTCCCTTTGGCAAGGTGAATGAGATGCAGTATTATTAGAATTAGAAACTTATAAATTTGTGTATCAATGAATCAATGATTTTGCTAATTGAATTGAGATTTTGAATGCTGAAACTGCATGTGCAGACAGATACAGCATCGGTGCTTCACGAGGCCATGGGCTATATAAGATTTCTACATGATCAAGTTCAGGTTCTGTGCTCTCCTTACCTGCAAAGTTTGCCTTCCTCGTACCATCAAAATCACCATGTGAGTCTCATCCCATTTTTCATCATTATCATAGTCTTCTATCATGCAGACAAATGTAGTTGATGTGGTCACAATTGCGGTCGCAAAAACCCGGTTTTGTGGCCACAAACATGGTTTTTTGTTGTTGAGATCTTTGATATTGTAAAAGATTATGAACAAATGCAACTGATGTGGCGGCAGTATAGTTGCAAAAACCCTGACTTTGTTGCCGAAATTGTGGTATTCTTAAAACCTTGATCATTAACATGATTTATTACTACTAAACAAAATCTACAACTAGGCAAAGGGCCCTCTTGATGGTGACAATACTGCACATTACCTTAATTGAAAAATGCTGAGGCGGGTTGGCAGGTCCTTGTGGCCACTAAGCACAGTCAAAACTGTGACACATTGCCGTTTAAGGCAACTCTTGATGACCTGAGAGTTTTGTTGTGTGTGCAATATTTCAGGGGGACGGAGATAACAATGAAGAGGAAGTGAGGAAGGATTTGAGGAGCAGGGGACTGTGCTTGATCCCTGTGGGGTGCACCATACACGTGGCCGGTAGCAATGGTGCTGATTTTTGGTCACCTGCTGCAATAGGGAGCAATGTTTCACCATCAGCCAAGCCAAGCAGTGAAACAAAACCAATGAATCCTTTTCAAAATTTGTAGCCTTTTGGGAAATGGGTTCCTATGTCTGCCCAATTTGGACTTGTACCTAATATGAGACCTTATCCGGAGATGGATGGGTGAGGAGGGAAACTCCATGAAATGGCAAAGAGGGATAACAATTAACAAGAGTGGTTCAAACTTCACACATGGGGTTCAAATCAGAGGTCATGATTTTGTCCTTAATTATGTAACATCTTTTTTTGGGGGTCCTTTTCTCAGGACATCTATATCTATATATCAATATTCTATAGAAGAAAGGAAGCAAATATTTTATGTAGGATTTAGGGATGTGTGGCCTTGAACCCTGAACTAGCTAGGAGTCTAGGATTCCACATATTTTTATTATTATATCTTCTGTCTATGTAAAATTCGGTAGGCAAGGCAATTAATTAAGTTGTTCCATATATTTTTAATATCCAGAGGCAATGTTTTAGCAAGGAAAACAATACAATAATCAAGTCTTGACAGTATTAAAATTTCACAATAGCATATGCAGAATATTCAACTATACATATGACCATTGAAATAATTGTATTATGATATTTTTATTACTGGTGTCGTCACGTGTGACGGGATATGCTGTGGTTATTGTTTGGAGTCTTGTACGCAATAATAGTGGTGCAAGATCAGTAACTGTTGGTGCAACATCCGAATACGCGTGTGATATTGTGGAACCATTTAAAAGCTCTTGTAATAAGGTGATCGCGACTTCATTGATAAGAATGTGACATGTTGGAGTTATATAGCAATTTGTTTTGTACATTATCAAAAGGGACAATCACAATTTGTTATATTTACATGTTTAGTTTGCTTGGGATTTAGTGAGTGTCACGTATATTTGCAAAATTTGATACCTGTTTCTAAAGCTAGACACATTTGTTAGCTAAAACTCTATTCATTATAAATAGTACTCATTAGGTATTTACTGGGTCTAGATCCAATTACCATTCCTATTTTTCTTATATTTTTTATAGATTGATTTGTCAATTTTTCTTAAATTTTTTTCATCATTTAAACTCAATAATTTGTCATAAAATAAGATGAGTCGACTTTTCTAGCCTTCTTGACCGCGTGATATTTCCACATTTGATGGACTTCTTCAGGGCATTTTCATCATAATTTGTAAATATATAATCAATGGTTAACATGCGATAGAAATCACATGAATTTGTATAAAAATTCATTAATGTTAAAAATGTGGAAAGTTTGGTTGAAAATCATGTTATTTCAATAATCTTGGATCACTAAATGATGGAGTTGGTATTTGAAGGAAAATATTCAAGAGAATGAAAGCAATGAATTGAAGAGATGGAAACTAATATATAAATGTAACTTTGAGAAAGATCAACCAATAGTTGGTTTGTGAACCTATAGCGAAATTTTGCATAAAACTAAGGGTATGTTTGCTTTCTGATTTGTGCATGTTTTTGTGCCCAGAATCCCCTGCAACTATGGTCAATATATGTTGGCTTATGGTTGGAAATTCAGAATTGTTAGTGGAATCTTCTCCCATTAAAGCTTAAAGCTTGTGATAATAAGATATTGGAAGACCAATCTCACCATTAACTCATCATCTAGGCTTTGTTTTCTTCTTTTATTTGTTTTAACTACGATTTTCTAATTATCTTGTGATAAAGGATGAGAAATCCTAACCCAAATACTATGTAATAGCGGAATTCATGTTTAGTTGAAGTTTATTTGGTTATATTGATTGCTTGTTTCTATCCTAATTCCTTCTATGAATTGTTCACTTGTGAACGATTCTAGATCATTGGTTACTATTGAAAATTGAATTAGGAATTGAAAATAAAACTAAGCAACATAATTGATGAAGGGATAAATATTATTAGTTATAAGATCATAATAGATTCTTGAATCTTGATCCCGATGCTTGCTTTAATTAGAGATTACTAAAAAAAATGATTTTTAGTCCACAAAACCGATAAAGAGGTAAGTATTTTTTTTTACTAATAATGTCGTTAAAACAACATTGAAAATTTTAAGCTGGTTTACGGAATAAAATAACATATTACTGGACTAATGGCTGAATTTGGCATTACATGTATATGTAAAATTTTGGGAATTGCCATTCATTCATATTCATTTTTTATTCTTTGCGCCCTAATATATTTTTTGTTTAACTTTTTGTGTTTCGAAAATATCTCTCTTACTCACTTCCATTCCCTCACTTCTTCACAGTTGGTCTACACTGTAGTTATATTCTAATAAATTATAGAAATAATTTTTTATAATATAAATTCGTTTATACATTATTAAAACTAGTTTCTATAACACAAATTTTTACATTATTAAAATTAGTTTTTATATGTAAATTTTATCACACAAAATTAATTATTGTAATATAAAAAAATTATACTAAAAAAAAGTTTTTTTTAAATTTATTAGAATATAATTTATTAGAAAAATTATTTTAAGTAAAATAATATTTTATAAAATTTTAAAAAAATAATAAACGAATGATGCGAAGAGTAAAAAGAAAGGTATAAATAAAATCTTCCTGCAGTTTTTATCTTCAAAGCCTAGCGCTGGAAAGTAAAGGTGGGTATGACTAGGGATGACAACTGGGCGAGGTAGGTACGGGTTTCATGATATCCGTTCCCGTTCTCGCGAGTTAAACTCATCTCCTTCCCGTACCCGTACCCATATTCGTCAGGTATATGATTTTCATCTTCATTCTCGTCCTTATCGGGTATCGGGTATACCCATACTCGTACTCGTCAATTTTTTTATTTTTATTTTTTGTAAAAAAAAAATATTTTTAAAATATTTTTTTTATTATATTATAATTATAATTAGGTTATTTTTTTATCTCGTATTATAATAAATAATCACACGTAAAAAAATATTAAAATTATTTAATATAATTAAATTAAAAGTGGGTATTAAATTAAAAATGGGAACGGGGATGGGTACGGGACAGGTAAGTACTACTTGTACCCGATTTAATATATCGAGTTTTACTCGTACTCGTACCTGGTCAAACCGGATATTTCCCGTCAAAGTTGAGACGGGTTCAGGTATTACCCGCGAGTACAGGTATATTTATCATCCCTATGTATGACCTGTCCGACTTTGTTATTTATTTTCTAAATTATAATAACGGTGTTAATTATTTATTTATGTGTAAATATAACATTTGTATAAAATAATTAAATTTGTTTATTATTTCATATGTATAAATATGTGGTCAAACTCAAACATATAAATTTATTAACTATTATTTCCTTAATGCATGTATTCATTCTCTCAATATTCTATATATAATTGTGTATGAGAGTAATATTTAATAAGTAATAACAATTTTATGAAATTAATTAGTGATCATTTTAACTGCTCTTGTGATTTTGTGTCACTATTATGTTAAAAATATGTTTTGATAAGATTCTCCACAATCATTTCTAGAAGAAAAAGTAGAAATTTTTTTTTGAAATAAGTTTCTTATTTGCATGCTTAAAAAATCTTCCGTCAACTATGTAACCTTGTTGGTCTTAATATTTTCTTTTAATTTTTTTTTGTAAAATAATTTCATACTACTTGGTAATTAATTTCTTGTATAAAATCTATTAAAATTTGAAAATTGTTTCCAAGACAAATGTTTTGAAAACAAAAAAACAAAAGCAATTGATAGATTTTTTTCTTATGTTTTATTATGTTTTGCATCTTGTTAAATCTTCTCAATCGCACAATATAAGTTTTTTTTTTTAGATTACATGTACGATGTATCCTCTGTTGGAGTGAGTTTTATTGGAGGGACATTATGAATGACAGATATTTCTCAAATCTATAATATACTTTATGTCTTATACCACCCTCCGTACTAGCTATTTAGTTGTATTTGAAAATTAAAAGTATTAAAAATATAAATGAAATATACCTCGAGTAATTTTTGAATTATTAATTCGAACTTACCTCTTATAATCCGGTGTATTTTTTAATTTGGACTGCTCAATTAGATTGCGAATTAAGAGTCGAGTGGGTTGGTCGCAAATAATCATTATTATATAGTTAATGGGCATTTCGCTATGTTTAGGTTCAATGAAATTATAGAAAGAAAAAATTCAGAAAGAATGTTTTTTTTTTTCTAATTTGTACATGAATATGGAAGGAAAGAAAATTTTGGTGAATCTCGTGCCAAAATTTGTTTTCTCCAATTTAAAAAGAAAATTAGAGAGAGAAAGTATGAATTTGAATGAAAAAACAAAATCATCATCGAGTTAATTTATATTATTAATTTGTTGTATTCTATTTTAAGTGATTTTTTTAATCAATCTTGTGTCTTGACTAATATTCTTTGTTGTATTACTGAGAGCATATATTCTTTTTTGTATTATTGAGAGGATATATATATATATATATATATATATATATATATATAATTTCATTTCACTTTTATTTAAGGAAATTTATATCATTTATATCATTTCTCTCTTTCCTTCTAATTATTTTTTTCATCCAAATAACTAAAATTCATCCAACTTTTAACTTTTTTTTTCATTGTTTTTAGTCTCTCCTTTCTCGATCAAAGAAAGTTGTCCGGTAGAAAGCAACTCAGTCTACCTGCTATGATTTCCAAGGATATATATATATATATATTTCCAACTGACCAGTTAAACAACAAAGTAAAAATATCCCATTTTCAACGCACATCGCCCAATCTCTTTTTTTTTTTTTCTGGGTCAATTATTTATCGTTCCTTGCCAATCTAGTGGGGTGCTCGCCGATGCACTATGTAGTGGGATAGATTGAAACCACATGTGATATGGATTGATATAAAAGTTGGATTTGAGTCATCACTTGTTCGGAATTAGTACACCACTTTTCTTCTGTAAATTAAAGATGAGAATGACATAAATGTGTAAAAATAGAAGAATGACATCAATATTTTTTTAATTTTTTTTAACTATATAATCAATATTTATTAATTTTGTCGTAAATTAATTTTTGTTAAAAAATTTAACAGACAATCTTTAGTAAAATCTTCTCTCTTAATCATGTTTTTTTTTCTTCATGTATTAAGATTTTTTAATTTTCTTTTTAGTAATCATGTTATTAGTATTTACTAGTTTAGTTAATAACTAATCTATGTTATAAAACCTGATTGATTACTTTTAATGAAAATACAATACTCAAATCGAAGATTTTACTTAAAGGAATTGAACTCATAATTATTTAAACCAATAACTTTTCGCTGAAATATTTTTTAATTTAAAAGAGCATCTTCAAGTAAAGAAAAAACATCTTTACCAAAAAAAAAGTAAAGAAAAAACATGAATTCTAATCTAATTAAAATATCTTAATTATTGAAAGTATGATTTTTTATTTTAATATAAGATTGCACTCTCACTTAACAATTTTATCTTTCATACGTCTAAGGTATCTTCTTCTTCTTCTTTTTTTTTTTAATTGTCCGTAGTATCTTTTTATTTATTAAAAGGCTTAGCATTAATTTTTCAACTTTGGACTCTATGTTCACAAGTTAATGAGTGATTGTAAATATCAAGACCAAATGCTTATATTCCTATATCTATAGATTTGCACATTCTAAAGGCCACTCAATCGCATTTGATTTTAGTAAAAGTGGATTCAAACTATAAACGATCCATTTTAATCATTCACTGTATTTTTGATAAACTTCTTTACAAACACTTGAAAAACAAAAATAACAAGAGAACAATAATATATGTTCATGTACAAATTAATTTAGAGAATTTTTTTTATTTCATTAATTTTTTTAAAATTTCATTTTTAGTTTATATATAAAGTTTTAATTTATAAAAAAATATTTTAATTTTTCTTTTTATTCTCCTAACTTTTCTCACATGGAATGAATGATTGTTGTGTAATGGGAGTTGTTATCATAAATTTGTTTTTTCATATTCCTCTTTCTATTTCTATTATAGTACTATCTTAAGAAGGAGCATAGGCCTGCCATTGTTTTCTATATAAAGCAAAGAAGCAGCGAACACAAATCGTAGTGTAATGAACAAGCACAAACAGATTGACTAAGAGAAAGCAAAAGGCAACCATGATCTTGCATGGCCTTTGTTTCTTAGTATTCCTATCCGCAACACATGCAGTTAAATTCAGTGTCACTAACAACGCACTTACAACTCCCGGTGGTGCGGCTTTCCGTGACAAAATAGGAGCTGCATATGCCCAGCGAACACTTATCGCTGCCACCCGAGTCACACTGAAGGACATCTTTCAGCAAAACAACCTTGCTGACAGAAAAAACGTGCAGAAGATAAGCTTATTTGTTGATGACATGGATGGAGTGGCTTATACTAGCAACGATGAAATTCACGTGAGTGCTAAATATGTTGGAAAGTACAAGGGGGACGTGAAGACAGAGATTACAGGGGTGCTCTATCATGAAGTTGTCCACGTTTGGCAGTGGAATGGGAATGGTGGTGCTCCTGGTGGATTAATAGAAGGTATTGCAGACTATGTGAGGCTGAAGGCAAACTATGCACCTAGTCACTGGGTAAAACCAGGACAAGGACAGAAATGGGACCAGGGTTATGATGTTACTGCTCATTTTCTGGACTATTGTGATAGTCTCAAAAGTGGGTTTGTGGCACAACTGAACAAGCTGATGAGGAGTGGTTATAGTGATCAATTCTTTGTTCAGTTACTGGGAAAGCCTGTTGATCAGTTGTGGCGAGACTACAAGGCTAAGTATGGCAATATTGCCTAAGACTAAGAGGGTTAGCTTAGCTAGCTAAAAGCTTTAGTTTAAATAATAAGCGACTATATATTTATCGCAATCTTTTCTACCAGATTATATCAACTCTTGGTATTCTCTTATCATGTAATGGGAAGTTTCATATATATGGCGAGAAAATAAAAACAATAATATTCCGTCTTTTGAATCATAAGCATGAAAAATTAAGCAGGCCTAATTAGTTGGAGGTTTGAGTAGTAATCATAAGCCTCAAAATATAAAAAAAAAAAAAAAAAAGAATAAGCAAAGGAATTGTGCAATATTGGCAATTGGGTTATTGGTTTTCATGGATGGTGCGGCACCATGACATGCAACAATACTGAATTTCAAGCTATTTACAACTGTCCGAGAGCATTGCTTGGCTGGAAGGCATCAGAAATATTGTTTGCGAATCAGACTCCTCTTGTGCCTTGACTCTAACAAAGGAAGGTATCAGGATTATATATATATAATACATTTTTTAATGAGAGGAAAAAACTGTTTACATTTTTTAAGAATAAAAAGCAAATTTATTCTATTTACAAAAACTATACAACAACAAATAAAATTATATTACATTAGCTAAAAACATATTTAAGAAGTGATGGCTAAATAATAAGATAAGGGTAACCATATTTAAATATCCGATATTTTAAACACTTTATTGACCCTCAGATTTGTTTTTAATTATCTTTCTCTTTTTTATCGTATCATGTACCTATAAAAATGATTTTTACACAGTTATATAAGACAAAAAAAACACTCAAACAACATTCTTAAAAAAATTGTTTTCTCTTTCCTCCCATGCCCTATGTGAAAAAATGTGGTATAAAAATAGTTAAAAGAAAAAAGAAAAAAAAATGGAAACTGAAATGTTTTTAGAGCGACTTGAGAAACTAAGTGCTCAAAAATCAGAACTAGTACTACCTGTTATGATATATGATGTTATAGGGAGAGACAAGGAAAAAATATATATGAATCGTCAATAAAGTGTTTGAAATGGTTGAATAATGAAATATCATTGCCATAAGATAATGTTTGATATAGATTTGCCCTAATCTCCTCTGCATGGTATTTATAGAAGATTTGACTTGACCATATGATACTCCAATTGCTTAAAAATTCAAATTTGGGTTACGTACGGAAACAAACAAGCATTCATTGAAAATATTAATGGCGTGGATTGAAGAACCATTAGTTTTTCTATATAAAGCAAGTACCCAACCCAATCTTTGTGTAGTGATAAACTTATTCACAAAGAAAAATACCAAAAGGCTCAAAACACAACCATATGATCAAGCGTGCCCTTTGCTTCTTAGTATTCCTATATGCAGTACATGAAACACATGCGGTTGAATACAGCGTCACTAACAACGCACTCACAACTCCCGGTGGTGTGGCTTTCCGTGATAAAGTAGGAGCAGAATTAATATGGCAAACTTACACTTGACTCAGCCACCCAATTCATATGGAGTGTCTTTCAGCAAAACAACCCTGCCGACAGAAAAAACATGCAAAAGGTGAGTTTATTCGTTGATGACATGGATGGGGTTGCATATAATGGCAACAATCTAATCCATTTAAGTGCAAGATATGTGGGAAACTATAATGGGGATGTGAAAACAGAGATCATAGGGGTGCTTTATCATGAAAACATTGAAATCAATGTTCAACCTCCAAACTCCCCATTGAAAACATTGAAATCAATGTTCAACTTACCGCAAAGGAAATCCAGAGCAAGGGACGCCACCTGACAAATGGATTTCTAAAAACTCCTCACATGCTCCTTACACACGACCTTCTCCATTGCCACCATCTCCCCTAGAGCATGCATCAAACATCAAAACATCCAGTTTTCCCTCTAGTACTTGTTTCTCGCCCAACCAGGCTTGCTTCTCCTCCAAAAGTTTTTCTTCTTGCCATCAAGACCAGTTTCCATTGCAGACGATGTGGCCTTCTTAGCTCAATTAACTTCCAACTCAGCCCTAGACATTTTAATCTCCTTGTCCTTGACAGCAAGCTCCTCCCATGTTCCCCTTCCTTAGGAAATGGAAACCACACTCCAATGTACTAAACAACAAGGCGACCCCAATATTTTGAAGAACACAGCAATAAATGTACATTTGAAGGCGAGGATATATCTCCTCGTCCAAATATCTCACGGTCACCAAACATCTCGCCCTCCCCAACAACAGTAGAACGACCTCATTATTAGTTCCTTTGTTCTAAAAGAACTCGAAGCTAGGAGGCTTACGTACTACCTAGCTTTAGGGATGACAAATAAACTCGTACCCGTCGGTAATATTTAAACTCGTCCCGACATTGAGAGGAAATACCCGATTTGATCAGGTATGGGTATGGGTAAACCCTGATATATTGGACTGGGTACGGATACAAGTATATACTTGTTCGCTCCATCCTCATATTCATACCCGTCCCTGTCCCCATCCTTGGTTTAATACCTGCTCCTGATTTAATTGTATTAAAAAAATTTAATATTTAATTATGTGTAATTATTTATTATGATGTAAAATATTTGTAGTTGTTTAATTATGAGGAAGTCTCTCGATTAAAATATGAGATAGACAAAAAACCTAATTATAATTATAATATAATGGAAAAGTAAACTAAAAATATTGTGTATTTTTTTTTACAAAAAAAATAAATTTGATGGGTACGGGTATGGGTATACTCGATACCCGACGGGGACAGAGATAAGATAAAAATTATATATCTGACGGATACAAGTATGAGAATGGGGATGAGGATGGGTATCATGAAACTGTACCTGACTCGTCTCATTACCATCCCTACCTAGCTCAAACAAATCGAGTAGAACACCAACTCTCCCATAGTGGCCTAGGAGATAAACCCTAATTAGGCAGTTTTATCTCTAATGGTTAAGAAATAATCTTTGCACTAGTCTCCAAAATTCGATAATTACATTCCAAATCAAGTTATGAAGAATAATATTTTCACACAACCACTATGATATATCTACTAGATATCGTGCAATATTACCTCTAAATTTAATGATAAGCTACTAGATATTACTCTAACTCAAATTTTACATTTACCTTAGACTTCTCTCTATCTTAAACGTTAGAGTACCTTTACAGGTGTCCTTCCTTGTTGTCAACAACTAGAGTATAGAGAACATCCCATTTACCATCGAAGCACTTGCAAGTTTTGGTAAGAACAATTGTATAATATACAATTACAATAATAAATAAAAGCATAGAAATTAAGATTTGCTTTTGTTCAACTTTGTAATTGCGAATTAATTGACTAATTGATCTCCCATCTTCGACGAGTTTGCGGTGGTAGTTTCTGCCAAAAGTTCTATGTTTTGCAAGACCATCTCTCTTGAGAAAATTAGTTACACAAAAAAAAAAAAAAATAATACATTAAGTTTATGACATGATAATATGAATGAGATAAATAAATATCAAATAATTAACAAAAATGGTATACCATATAACACATTACCCGCTAGTTCATCCTTGCTTCCATCCATTAGATGTGATTATTATATTAAATAAAATATTGACTATGTTTTTACCTTCATTTATAGAAATACATAGAGATGACAACGGTGCAGGATGGATAGTAGTTTCTGTTACTCGTCTTATTAGTAGAATTATTTATAATTTTTTTTTATACTTACCAGTATCCATAAATATTTATTAGAATATAAAATTTTAATTAAAAAGGTAAGAAATAAAATAATTAAAAATAAATAATTTTAAAATCTATATTTGTATTAAAAATAGTTTTTTTTAACACATTTTTACTAAAAATTTATAATTGTGATACATATGCATCGTAAAGATAAATTAAATCATATTACTTTATATATTAAAATAATTTTTAAAGTACAAGTATTTACACGTATCAGTAATTTATTATCCATCCTCTATTAAGTAGGTATCATTTAATTATTTAATTAAAATTTATAACGAAATTGATTTGTGTGTACAATATTTTTTTAATTTGTGTAGTCCTAATATATAGAATATTTTTTAAATGAGTGAAAAAAAAATTATTTCGAAAGAACTAAAACCGAATATTATCCTATTTAAGAAAAATACAACAAAAAATAAAGTTCTATTTTATAGAAACTAAAAACATGTAGTAATTCGTAATAATTAAGATAATGTTTATTTGATATATAGATTTGGCCCACTTTACTAGACTTGATCATATATATGACCCTAAACCCTAAACCATATGACACTCCAATTTCTTGAAAATTCAAATTTGGGTTACGTATGGAAACAAACAAGCATTCAATGAAAATATTAATGGGGTGGACTTTTCTTTTTGTGTTTTCTATATAAAGCAAAGTACCCAACCCAATCTTTGTATTGAGAAAGAGAAAAAGCAAAAGACATCAAACACAACCATGATGAAGCGTGTCCTTTGTTTGTTAGCATTCCTATATGCAGTTCATGAGACACATGCAGTTGAATACAGCGTCACTAACAACGCACTGGCAACTCCAGGTGGTGTGGCTTTCCGTGATAAAATAGGAGCAGAATACGCGAAGCAAACACTTGACTCAGCCACCAAATTCATATGGAATGTCTTCCAGCAAAACAACCCTGCCGACAGAAAAAACGTGCAGAAGGTGAGTTTATTCGTCGATGACATGGATGGGGTTGCATATACTAGCAACGATCAGATCCATTTAAGTGCAAGATATGTTGGAAACTATAACGGGGATGTGAAAAGAGAGATCACAGGGGTGCTTTATCATGAAATGGTCCATGTTTGGCAGTGGAATGGGAACGGTGGTGCTCCTGGTGGGTTAATTGAAGGTATTGCAGACTACGTGAGGCTGAAGGCAAACTATGCACCAAGTCACTGGGTAAAACCGGGACAAGGACAAAAATGGGACCAAGGTTATGATGTTACCGCTCGTTTTTTGGACTATTGTGATAGTCTCAAAAGTGGGTTTGTGGCACAACTGAACAAGCTGATGAGGAGTGGTTATAGTGATCAATTCTTTGTTCAGTTACTGGGAAAGTCTGTTGATCAGCTGTGGCGAGATTACAAGGCCAAGTATGGTAATATTGCCTAAGAGAGCTTTTTAGTTTAAAGAATAAGCGACTACAGATATATCGCAATCTTTTCTGTCAGATTGTATCAACTCTTAATGTTTGTTATGTATTACCATTTACCAGTTATTGTATACTGGAAACTTTTATGTCTGGCAAGAAAATAAAACAATTCCGACTTCAAATAAATGCATTTCTCTTGCTTAGAGAAAACTTCACCTGATTGATTTTTATCCTATTCACAAATGAGACCCAAATGGAAACAATAACGTCGGTTTTCGGCCTAACTTCAAATAATCAACTAGAATAAGTCTTTAAGTCAAGTCTATTTAGGTTTGACCCATTGTCTATTTAATTATGAATAGTTGAAAACTAAGAGTAATGAGCCAAATGGCAAATTTTTTATAAGAGTATATTTGATTGTGTTTTTTTTTTAGTTTATTTTATAAATTAATTTTGAATAGTAGGAGAGAGAGAAGAAAATATTATATTTATTTAATACATATCTACTGGTAATAGAGACTATTCAAAAAAATGTATTTTTTAACATTTCCGTATCAAATATATATATCTAGAATGTTTTCTCGATTGTGATAGATATGAGTTATTCAACATTTTTCGTACCGTGTTGTTTTTTTTTTACACCAACATTATACACGTATATCAGAAAACAATTTTATATGTTTGTCGTTCCTTCTCTTATACATGTCATTTTACATTTTATTATTCTTTCAATTCCTCCTTTTCTTTTTCTTTATATTATCTATTATATTTTTTAATTTTTTTCTTAATATAATTATACTTTTTTTTACAGGGATATAATTATAATTCTTAAAGGAGTGTAAAATGATTTTATTTTCGTTATCTCTTTCTACGATGGATACACGATATATCTTATAACTAGAGGATACATCATACATATACAGAAGAATATAACTTAAAAGTTACGTGAACAATTTTCTTCTTCTTCTTCTAGTACTAGTACAAGTAAGCAAAGGAATTACGCAATTCAAAGACAAAAAATTCCTTCTTGTCCGCATTTTTCTTAGCAATTTTCTATTTACATATTATAAATGACAAGCTTTTGATGATGTTAAATATAAGAAGGAAACTATATATCAAGTACAATTTATTTATTATTTCAAAAAGGGCGTTTACGAAAGTTCCGACTTTAATTGACTTCTGTAGTTCCGTTCACTCCCACTGTTTAGAAAATGTTACATTATTTTTTAACTATAAAAAGCATTACTTATTTCTATATTATTTTCCTAAAAAAATATGAGAAATAACAAATGTTCATTATTTTTCTGCCTACTATTCCCTACATATCTTTTTTAAAATATATAAGACTATATATACTTTTTTTTATAAATAAACATTGTATCCTAAGGGTCCATAACGGATTAGAATATATAAATTATTCTAATAAGACATATGTAGATTGTTGTGTTAGATACATAAACCGATAAACTTCTCTGTACTCATGTGTTCAAAGTGTGAAAATTGTATATCCTTTAAATCCAAAGTCAACTAGAGTAAATTTAGCATCATAATTTATAACTATATATATTTACCGTCAATAAGATAGGATGTAATTATGCTAGGATTTTTGAATATTTTGAACATGAATTAGCGTTAGAATATTCCATAGTATAGAGACAGTTTATACAAGAAAAAAAAAAAAAGTTTGCAAAATAAAGCTACCTTTAATTTTGATCTTATCATTTATGTTTACAATTTTAGATCCTTTATTTGTGTATTAACAAAGTTTAGGTGAGTTAAATTCATTAAAACAAGGGCAAGCCTCAAAGCTTTGACCTACCGACAAGGTTCTCACGTCCATTAAAGATGAGTCAATTCCTTGTGAAACCTACCTTTGTTGCCAATTGGCGATCAACTAATAGGAAACATGCTCTTACTACATTGGAAGAGTCTTTGCATATGTAAAGCAAAATGTGATCGAAAGACCGCGTTGGAGTGTCCCATATGGCACTTATCAGAAAATTTGACTAGGTCATACAACAGTACACCCCGATTAGCTGGAAGATTTGAATGCAGTAAGTGTAGTTTCTGAAACAAACAAACATTAAAATCAACGTCGTCAACCGCCTGGAAAGAAGACCCACTTGCCATTTGTTGTTACAAGAGAAACAACAACACAATAATCAAAAGTGTTAAAATACGTAGGGAAATAATTTTCTAACTTACAAAAATCAATAAAGAACAATAAATAAATAAATGGTAGAAAATAAGCATAAAGAAACACACATAGTTTTAATGTGGGAAAACTTTTTCAATGTGAGAAATAAAGACTCATAGGCACAAGTCAATTGATCAAACTTTATTATGATCAGTACAAGAGAGTTTAATCAAATACATAAATAAATGCTTAAAACCAATCAATGTATCAAAGAAAGAAGGTTTTCTAATTGAAGAATAAAAAAGAAACCTCAAATTAGAACAATTGCTCAAAATTGATTTCTCCAACCTAACCTTCAATTCATGATCCTAACATTTAAAATGAGATCACTATATTAAGAACTTTTTGTCAAATTTTCAGCCCGAACCAATGATAAACAAAATGAGGATCACAATTTTACTGAAACTGCTTTATACATGTGAATCAAATTTTTTGTTCTCTTTTTCTCTTCTTTTTGTATCGTGTAATTCACTCTCTCTCTCTTATATTGTAAGAGACCTCTCCCTAGCTACTTGAACTTTAAGTAAGACAAAATTTAGATGATATAAAATTTGGACCTTTTTAAACACATATTTGGAATACCACCAAACAGTTGTTTATATATATAAAGCAGGCAACACTAAACTATCTTTGTAATTTACAATAAGCAACCAACCATGACAATGCATGGCCTTTGTTTCTTTGTGTTGGTAGCTGTAATGCAAGGAGTAATAGCAGTTGATTTCAGCGTCACCAACAACACTATAACGGCGACGTGAAGACAGAGATCACAGGAGTGTTGTATCACGAAGTGACCCACATTTGGCAGTGGAACGGGCATGGTGGTGCACTGGTGCTCCTGCTGGATTAATTGAAGGCATTGCAGACTATGTGAGGCTGAAGGCAAATTATGCACCTAGCCACTGGAGGAAAGCAGGGGAGGGACAGAAATCGGACCAACTTCCAAGGGTATGATGTTACGGCTCGTTTTTTGGACTATTGTGATGGTCTCAAGAGTGGGTTTGTGGCACAGTTGAACATGCTGATGAGGAGTGGCTATATGTGGATTTGTATGGGAATAAACCCTAATCAAGAAGTCATTAGCTTCGTCATTTTAAAATAAGCGACTATATGAGGGTTTGTAACAATTCATTTCTAAATATTCAGCCGTTGCAAGTTATATGTCATGTTCTACCTAATTCTGATTACCAAAACTTTAAAATGATTCTACAGATTCAAGAAACAAACATTAATGTCAGCTATCCTATAGAAAATCAAATAAAATGTGATATACTCGATCTTCACCCTCATCGTTCAGGCGGCATCATAATAGAATAGACCATATACGACGAGTAATGATTACATAAGTGGGAACTAATTTTATAAGTACTGGTGGGGAAAGAAAAGAAGGGGAATAAAAAGTGTGCCTCCTTGAAAAATAAAACAAAATTTACTTCTATATCATTATTAGAAATTATGTATAATTATCACAGTGAAAAAGATAAAAATAAAAGTAGACATTAAATAAAGAATTCTTTTTATTATTAATATAAAATATAGAATATAGATAAAGACTAAATTAAAAAATATAATGTATATATATGGTCAAAACATATAATATTAAAATTTGATGAGTAATATTAGACTCAATTTTTATTAAGAAGACATTGGATATTATATATACCATTCCAACCCGTCAATCTTAATAATTCAATAGAGCAACGATTTTGAGATATAGAACAATCTCATGTCACTTCCAACTTTGGAGATATCCAAGTATAATCCCAATTTTAAAAAAAAATAATAAAAAAAAGAGTGTATGGTAAATAATTTCTATTTATAAAAAAAAAAAAAACCTGTTTTACTTTTATCCAATTATAAATTATTACATATAATTATCGTAAAAAATACTGTGTCTATGTATAACTAAATATAAAAATAATTAAAGTTGAGTGATGAATAACAATTAGAGGGTGTGAATAGTTTTTAATAGTTAATTTGAGAGTATGAAAATTTTGAAAAAAAATTAAAGTATCAAAAAAAAAATTAAATAAAAAATGAGAAAAAAAATGGTGTTTTGAAAATTAAGGGTGAAACAGTAAAAAAAAAGTGTACATCACAAATATATATAAATTAATAGTATAGATAAATTTATTTACTTTGGTTAAATTTATATTAAAAATAAAACTAATAGTGATTTATATAAGTTGGCATTACAAATTTTATAAAACTATTTTTTCTTGTTTACACTGGTATATAAAAATTAATCTCACTTAATTATATAAATTAAATGATGTTGATAACAGATTATATGTACAAAAAATAAATAAATAACAGTGAAATATCTTTTTATTAAATTTTGTTTTCATTTTCTATATAAACTTAAAACAGAAATTGAATAGAAAAAAAAAAGAAAAAAAAAAGGCTTTTTCTCATACCAAACGACTCTCAAACTTGTTTTTATATTTTTCTAACTCATGTTCTTCCGCAGCATCCAATAATTATTGGCCGATGTATAGTATTAAACTATTAATTAGAAAGCAAAAACTGTCCCGGATAGAAGAAACAGAAAAATGTATATAATTTTCCATACATAATGTTGACAAGGAAACAATTATCTAGTAGTGCACACGATACATTAAGGACGTATTGAACTATTGATATAGCAAAAACTTGTAGTTATGGCTAGAATTGCCTAATTGCTGAAATAATTTCAGCAATGCCTTCAAATTTTCTTCTTTCTTTGAGAAGCATCTTAGCTAAATCAAGTGCTCGTCGTTCACAAGTTGCCCTTTTACCAGCATCAGTAATGGATTCGAAATCCTCAACATGTGCCACACCGACAATTCTCCTGTTAATCAAATAATTATTATGCAAATGTTAGCCACTCCACCTAAAATAAGGATTTTTCGGGTATTTTATGAGGATGGGTAACATGAAACAGCTCATGAAATTTTAACTCATCATGCTCAAATAACATCAAGACACAAAGCTAGTCTGCACTTTACATCAACACAAGTGTTTTGAGCATTATAACAGAACAAAAGATGTACATGATCCCTTGTTAAAATTCAATATTCATGCTACAACGGAAACAACGCATGACTTGGCTTATGATGGATATATTCCACCTGAAGAAATAATATGGGTTAAGAAGATAGTATAGCTCTAAGGTAGGAGCAGCCTAAAAAAAATCACTCCAACATTTAAAGGGAAAAGGATTAGAAATATTAGTAATAAGACAAGACAGGGATGAGCGATTAAATAGAATTAAATCGTACTGAAAGAAACTTTTTCTAAGGAAGATGAATTCCAAATACATATATACTTATACAGGGATTCTTACTTTGAAAAGAAGTGAAAGTGCAACAGTGAGATATTGAAATGGAACTGAACGATGAAAACACAGAACATACAAATACAATGTCTAAATGCAAAATAACACAAATAAACGGATCAATAAAAGCTCTAGAGTTATTTATTTATTTTTACAATAATGAGTAATTTAGTTACAAAAAATGAAAAACAATTAGTTTAATGCTTAGTTAAAACTGGCTTAAAGATTAGAAAACTCAACCATTGCTTATTGCTAAATAAGCTGGCAATTGAACTGTAAGACTATCTGCCTCGCAATTTTAAGCTATCAGCTGACTAAAGTTCATCTATGGTTTTATATATAACATGCCTACGCAAGCAAGAGCCTTTTGGGCTAAAAGAATGAATATGTATATGCTTAGTTATATAACTAGTTCTGAATTTTTACTTTTTTTTAAATGATGGATGCAGCTTAGATTTCAAAATATTGCATAATAACCTAATATTCTTTGTTGTTTTGCGTGAAATTAATGTTAAATCTTTGACAATACTTCACTTGTTTTATTAAGTGTGCAACAAATAGGGAAAACTCAAAAAAGAAAGAAATCAAGACAATTAAGAGATAAAATGGAACAAATCTGAATGTTGAAGATATGCACAATCAGGCTTGACTTATGCACATTTGTGCTTCAAGAGAAGCACACCACTGCACATGGCCAGGATATTAAGCATGGTCGTAATTACCAATATGCACGATCGAGCTTGCCAATATGCATGGTCTTGCTTCCTTCAGAACACAAAGCACGTCCGTGCTCCCTAAAACAAGCCCAAGCCCAAGATATTAAGCACAATCGTGCTCTTTGATATGCACGACCATGCTTCAAGAGTTCACTCTAGTTTTTGCCTATAAATAAGGATGTCCATAGAACATTGTAATCATCCAATTTTTATTCAGTTTTTAATTTTAGTTTTACATTTTCTCTCTTTCTCTTTTTATAGGATTGTGATGTAATTGTTCCTTGTGAACCCCCAACTATGAATTCATGAATTGTTTCTTTTAAATTGTATTATTTTAATGTTTCTAATTTTTATTTTAGTTAATTGAAAGTTGCATGATCAAACTCTTTTAATTAACAAAAACCTAAGAATAGTTGAATTATTTGAAAATTGGCATGATCAAACTGTTTTCTTAATTTTCAATTGAATTAATTTATTAATTCGCTTCGGTGTACTTATGCTTTGTTTTTAAAATAAATCATTTACAATCAATTTGGATTTTTCTTAAAATAAAGACAGTTGACTTCTTGAAACCATAGGATTGTTAGCAATTTCACAAGTATAATTGGTAACATTACTTATTCATTTATGAAATTTATCTTTGGAGGAAATCCAGGATAACTAGTCACAACCCTAAGGTTTTTAATCTTTGAATTTCAATCTTTTTATTTTCTACTTTAATTTTCATCTTCTTTTAAATCAAATTTCTATTCAAACTACTGAAAATCACAATAAAGTTGGCAATTGCTTAAATCTAATCCTTTGGCTATGGTATCTAGACTCTGTCCATTGTTACTACCGTAGTGAAGCATGCTTGCCTTAGGTGTATTTTACACGCAACACTACAACAACAACGACTCTTTTATCACTAGGTGGGATTGATTGCATACATCAAATGATGCCACAAGGCTATGCCACATCAAGGACCATCTCAAACTGAATTTATAAATTATAAGATCAAGAATGGTAATCTAGTGAACATAAACAAGAAATCCTAGAAATCATATATACACAAATTAAATAGCATTCTAGTAAAAATGATTATCTGCAATCTCACATTATATTCTTTGTTATAAAAAAAGGAAAAGTCCCACCTTATCATTTTAGCTGCGCCAAATCCAAGACTATCATGAAACAAATCTGTCATGTATTTCTTCTGAACAAGCAGTTGAACCTCAGGATTGTTATAGATTGCTGGAAGATATGCTTCACCAACACCATTTCTGTGCTCATCCCAAAGTGAAGTGAATTTTTGGTGGAAAAGATTCCAACTGTCTTCAATTGTCTTGAGAATCCACTCCTTATAGGCCTGCATAACACAGTTTTAGACAAAGGAATAACACTATTTTACCCCTACAATCAATGGTATTCAACAACTATTGAGGATTACAGTTTAAATGCCAAATCTCATTATTTCATGCACCCTGCAATGAAATGCAGTAACACAACTGAAATGCAAAGACCAGCCAAATAAGGTGAAGATACAACAGTAGATAAACAAAACAAAGCTACTTCAGATAACAAAGGACGTACTTACAACCAAGTCTTCACTTTATTTTAAATAAAGGAAAGAATTTTATAAGAAAAAGAAAGATATAGAAGTGCATGAGGTTGGATGATGAGAAATCCTCAACAAAGACCAAACAACAAGAGAAACACATGAAACAGAGAAAGAGAACTCCTAAAAATTAGTCAGTGTAAGAGCTGAGCTGTTCAATTTCTTTATATAGGTCTCTGAGACTATGAAATCTCAGATTTCACAAGGTATATTTCTGATTACACATCAACATTAACACTAAGGGATCCTTCTTAGTAAGAATAACAAGGCACTAGTCATTGGCACCACACAGAGAAAACAAGAGAACAATACAAGGTAAATCAAAATCACAAATAAGCAGAGACAGCAAAAATCAAAAACAGAATCACTGGTACAAATGCTTTTGTATCTCTAAAGACATGTAGGACCACTTAAAGAAAACCAGCCTCTGCCATAAAACAGAACCATCAAAGTGAAATAAAATTTACAACATTAAAAATAAAGAAAGGTAGCGAGAGAGTTTAAGTTTTAGAGTTAGATTATGGAGAATAACAAGAAATACAAGACTAAATAACAACTACAGTATAGTAGTATACAAAGAAGAGGACAAGAAAGAGCCACAGAAGACATGGAAAAATAGGGCATACTTTTCGATCATTTGCTTGATCAGCATGTCCATCTTGAGCAAAGAAAGCCAAAATCAAGTTTCCCAAGAATGCTCCAATATCAAAACCCATTGGTCCATAAAATGCAAATTCTGGATCAATAACTTGAGTTGATTCGCGAGTAACCATCACAGAACCGGTGTGTAAATCTCCATGTATTAGTGCTTGTGCCCTCTCGCAGAACCTATAGAGGAATATAAATTCTTCTCAGAAAAAATATAACAATAAAAACTACTGCATATAATTGGTAAACAAAAACAAGTCATAATACTTGGATTTCAGCTCAGCAACTTCAAGCTTCAGCAGATTATCTTCCCGAACAGCCTCAGCATCACTGTCGAGAAAGGGGGATGTCCAACGATTATATTGAGAAACTTTATAAGGGTCAGAGAAAACGACCTGCTCAGTGAGCCTGCATAACTCCACATTCCCACAATATTCGGCAACTGCATGAAGCCCATATGAATTCAATTCAATCCAATGGTAACCCCAATAGATAATTAAATGCGTAAGAACTTCCTTATAGTCACGAGTTAAAATTCAAATAATTTATGCATTGATAGTGTAAACTGTTTTGTTAACATATATGTTTGTTAACTTTTATAAAAACCAACTAAAAGGTTGTGTCTCCTATTGTTAGAATATGATTTTGAGTCTAATTCAACTCTATAAATAATAAAACTAACTTATAAAATGAGAGTTGTCCCTACTTGTATATTTTATTTTAGTTTTTATCACAAATGGACACAGCATCTACAATACCTATGATTTCTGATTGAGTGTTAGACAATGTAATTTTTTACAGTATATAGGAATTAAACTCTACATACTAACATTTTAAGAATTTCCCTCATCTAAATTGTATATAAAGTGACAAGGGTAAGGTTATACCGTCTCGTTTGTGGTCAGTAGTGGAACGGAAAAGCAGAGACGTAAAGAAGAGTGTCTTTGCCATGAAATCAGCCATGTGATCAGCCAAAAGAGGGTACTCAATCCCAGCAATCAACCCTTTTCGGAGGATTATGTGTGGGGGCTCCAAGTACCGCATACCGATCAAAGACATGGTACGGTCAAAGTGATACACTTCAGGAACATGTTCGGGACTCAAACGACCCTCTTCTTTCAGTGCCAGTGACTCAAAATACGCTCTCTCCTTCGTCATAGGCCACGATTCCCCTATGCAACGAACGTACGGCAGAGCCTGTGAGAAAGAAACGAAATTGGCGATTGCCCATGATTTTTTGGAACATGAAGAATTCTGGGTTTTGTTTGGATGGTGAAAGTGTTACCTGTTTGATGACAAAAGAACCTGCGGAGTTGGAAACAATGAAGACGAAGTTAAGGTTGCCATCTCCGACTTCTTTGATGGATAAGTGGTCGAAGTTGTCGGCGAGTTTGGAGGAGAGGGAGGGGACGGACTTGATGTATTCGATGAGGGACTTCTCGTCGAGTGGTCGGAACTCCGAGAACGTCATCGTGGCCAGCGACGGTGCCCAAGAGGGAGTGGGAGTGGGAGTGACCAATGTTTGTGCTCTTCTTGTAGTGCGTTTTTCTTTTGCTTTCGGAGGAAATACGCTAAAAATTTGGTTACTAGAATTTGATTTTTCTAACACGATGTCTCTGCTCTGGTGCCAATTTTTGTTGAGAAAAAGTAACGGTGATTAAATTATTGATGGGAATATGAAATATTGGTGTTGAATAGATGAGAGGGTGTTGGTAAATAAACATCGGAAGAAAAAAAAAGAAGAGGATGTTAAATATTAATAAATGCTGGTATATTTTCCAATCATTCAGGCGTGAGTTTTAACCCGACATGAAATCAACGAAAATAGGATGTTGATAAATGCCTTTATGATATATATTTCTTAAGAAATTTAAAAAAAAAAAAAACTCTCTAGCATAATCTTTAATATAACTAAATTGTAATTATAATATTATTTTTAGTAATGATCAAAATACTTCGATTTTTCTTTGAAATAAATCAGAAATTTTGAAGAGTCAAATAAAGAGAAAGGTAATGAGTAATTGAAAGACTTTTTTGTTTTGGAAAGTAAAAAAGGCAATGCAATGAACCTGGACAGAATTTTGATTAATCAGGTGAGGTTGGGGGTACTTGGGGACTAGGGAGTGGACAAAGTTAATTTTAGGAGAATCCTTAGATTTGAAATGTGTAAGCTTGAAGAAATTATTTTTATTTAATTTAAAATACATTATTATTTTAATTCAATAAAAATGAAGAACATACATATTTTATTTGCGTAGTATAAAAAGTGTTTCAAAAATTCTTTGATTAATAAATTTTAATAAGTTAAGAATTATGTTACATACTTTATTTTTTTTTAAAATTGTATTTTACTGCTTCAAAAAAAATTGTATTTTACATTGAAAAATATTATTAAAAAAATGACTATCTAACTACTTTATATTTAATATATATAAAAAACTACTTTGTATTTGAGATAATAACATGTAATTATTATAATTCATTTGATTTGTAAATTTTATATGGGATTAAATACTTCTTTACCCCTGAAAACATTATAAACATTGGTTTTAATATTTATTAAAAAAAAATTAATTCTTACATTTTAATAAAAAAAATGCATTTTTTATTCTTTAGTGAAAGACCAAAACTATAAAAACTAAAATAATTTTGTTTTATAAAAAAATTAAACTTAAATTTATGGTATTTTCAGAGATTAAAAATCATTTAAACATTTGATATATGTCGACACAAATAAATAGTTTCTTGTTGGCTAACCATATTTGTCCGTATAAAACAGATCAACATGAGACCTTACACTGAGTTCGTTACGACACAAACACACGGTTAGTTAAATTTAATTTCACTTATCAACAAAATATTAGTATTAATTAACTTAATTTTATTTCTCACTTCTTTATTTTACTCTTAATATGAGGAAAAAAATGAATGATTATGGTGGAAGTCTTTAATTGGAGTCTAATTTTATAGATTAATCCATAAATGAAATTAAGTTGGATATTAAAAAGATTATCTAAGTAATTAGATATTTTAGTTTGATCCATTAAGTTTGACAGGTCTAATGAATTTAGGTTGAACTGATCTATAAATTTATAGATTGATCTGTTACATTAATAATTAAAATTAATATTAATTTATAATGTATTATAAAATAATAAAATATAATATAATAATATTATAATTGTAATAATTTTTTACTTTTTTTTATATTTGTTTACAAAGTTGTGATTACAAATTTAATATTTTAAAAGATAATTTTAATATGAATTTTTTTTGTAAATTTTATCAGATTTTAAAGAAATGTCATAATTTTTAAGTTTTTTTTTAAGACCTTTAATACATGGATTTTCATCCTGACTTTATAGTTCAGTTTTTAACAAATTTTGATGGATATATATATAAGATTTTAAGGGATTTTATAGTTTTCGTAGAAAAACATGAATTTGTAAAATATATTTAATATTATAAAAATTAATAATAGAAAAAATATAACACAAATGATTGAGAAAAGTAAAATCAACATTTTTTTTTACAAATAATTGACTATAATGTCTTCTTAATTAATATTTCTTCATGTATCTAAAATTATACTAACGCTTCATGCATTGACATATTCTTTTTCATTCACTCGAGTTTGAGCAATATATTCCAAATTGTGATATTTATTAATCGATAGCACCAAAAATGAATATTTATTCATTGGTTTAATTAAAATTTTATTATTTGCAAATAAAGTTATGCAATACCACACATGTTAATACAAATTCAACTAATGTTTTAAATAGAAATGAAGATGTTGACTTGAAAATTGTGAAGTGTGATTTAAAAATACCAAATAACATATCGATCACATTTTTTAAGGATGCACAATGTAAATTAAATACTTCATTTTCATTTTGAAGGTCATTATCACAACCTACAAAATCTTGGAAATGATAAATGAGATATATGAATAAAAAGAGAAAGAAGAAGAGAGTGAGAGAGAGAGAGGGGGAAGATAAACTCATACAGGGAAGAAAAGAGGAGAGAAAAAGAAGAAAGGTGAGAAAGAAAAATTAAACAAGAAAGGTGAGAGAGAAAACATGTGAGTTTTGTCACTCTTATAATCTCATTTTCCTCTTAACGACTTCATCTCGTGATTCATTATCTTTGTTTCATTCGTCAAAAAAAACTCATATTCATAAAGTAACAATAACTACTAATTGTTACTACTCATAAAATATAATGTATCACTTCATTTTGTAAGAAATCTTATTTCTTTTAATAGATATATTTTTTTCACTCAATTATTCAAATATATTTACCTAGTTAATAAATTTTTTGATTATAATAATTTTTTTATCACATTTCAATTATCATATATTTTTTATTGTCTATTGCTAGTACAATCTTGCGATTCTAACTCTTACTAAATATTAACTATGTTAATTTTTAAAAAATATATTTTTAATTAGATCAATTTAATTAAATATTTAATATAAGTCATATTAAACCGTTGAAAAAAAACGACAACAAAAATTATTGATCAAATCAATATAGTCTAAAATAACATTTAACCTAAATAAATTAAAGTGAATTAGACAAACTTGACCTATTTCACATGTCTAATTTAAGCCTGCATCGTGATTCCAAATGCACGGATTCCAAATTCAAGGGGAAAAGCTGTTGGTACCTCGATGCCAGCTAATACTACTTCTATTTTCAATAATCGTGTTCTATGATATTTTATACAGGTTAAAAAATTAATAAATAAATAAAAATAACTTACAGAATTAATTTTATAATTAATTTTATTTATTAAAAATATCTAGTACAACATTACTTTTTTAACTTAGACTAATAGTGGTATAGAGAAAAATACTTTTTAACCGAGACAATAGGGATATAGATAAAAGTAATAATATTACATTCAATAAAAATATGAGACTAATTTTGAGATGTATTTTTTATTCTACGTATAAAAGAAATACGAAATTTATTATATAACAAAAAAAAATCAAAGAAAAAAATAGATAAAAAAGTAAAATTATGACTAAGGATATGAAATCATCAGAAAATAAGATTAAAAATTATATAAAATATTGCAAATGTAGAAACAAGATAAAGCATGCTTCATGCTTGTTATTATCCCAATATTGTCAACTATAAAGAGTCTTGTTCCACTTTACTCATTCCTTTCATATCGACCATGAATTAAACACATGGGTCCAAACTTCAAAACATATTGAATTTGCAAACAGCAACAAGATAATTATATGTCACACGTGAGCCGCTTGTATGATATTTTTCAAGATTTTCACATCACTGGAGAATATCGTGCATACGCAATAGTGGTAATATCAAAATTTATATTATAAATGTTGACCGAAAACAAAGGAAGGAGTATGTGGCGTTGGAAAGTGGAGGCAGCAACAAAACATAAAGAGTGAAGATTGAGGTGAATGGTGGTAATATTGTGAGATGCGCGTGGATTATGTTATGGTGGAAGGCTCCCAAAGCTTTTCTTTCCTCGTACTCGTCGTGCTCTGTTCATGTAGCTTCCGCAATCATCTGCTTCGTAAATTCCCAAAATTTACATGCAACGGAAACTCATCCCATTTCAAAGCTTGCAACATCCAAAGGATAACATAAATTGACCTTTGAAGTGATCATGCCACGTTCACTTAAACGCCATCGATATTTCCTGTGTCTCAATCAATGTTTGTAAACTTCATCTTACGTAACTTATAACTTGTCATCTATATTATAATAACTTTATTAATTTTTACATTATCTTAAATGTAGTATTAACGATCATTTTTAATCAGTTTAAAAAATAAAATTTATTACATTCATAGTATTAAACTCGAATCGATTCAAGTTAAAATTCATGAAATAATGTGATTTATATACAAATTTTTATTTTTTTTATTCAATAAGAAAATTAATAGGAAAACTCACTATATTTTTGTATCCCGTACAAAAATTATGTCATATTGTTTCAATCCAAGATTAATTATATATATAGATTCCCAACCAATTTCAATTATTCAACATAAAATGAAATAAATTAATAAATATTTACTTAAAATTATGTTTCTAATTTTGAAAGCATGAATATACAAACCCTATTTATAAACCAGTGTAAGTGTGTAACACATGATATATTTGTGAGTTAATGTTAAAAAAAAGTTTCTTTTTGAACTCAATGTTAAAAAGAAGTTAGAAAAATATATTTATGCATAATATATTGGAGATTTCACATTGACTAATGAGATAATCATACTAATATATATATATATAAATAAATAAATAAAATAATCCTCACTTTATAAATTAATTAATTTTATAAGATTGAGTTAAATTTCAAACCAATTTTTTAAAATAACAAAAGTATTCGAAAACTTACCAACAAATTAGTATATTATTTTGGGTGGTTTCCCTGTAGCATTGTACTTTTTATGCTTTGAAACGTACCAATATCCTCAATATTTATTATTTAATCCAATACTTCATTTACTTAAAGTTTAATTATAAACTAAAACTTTCAATTATTGGAAAAAAAAAGCCTAAATTTGAACATATATTTGAGTAAATGAAATAAGACGCGATGGATAGTTCAGATATTGTATAATAAAATAAATTTTCATAATATTATTTAGCCAAAAATTAACGAAATAAGTAAACAATCAATTAATCTCGTATTATTCTTAAGATAAAAATAAGAATAATAAAGTAAATATATTTAAATAGATTTTATCAAATACTATTTATCTTATTTTAAATTCACTCCCGTTTCACTTTTGCTATATATATATATATGCTTGATTGTTTGTTAGCATTACTTCTTCCCGGATGTATAATTTTATTTTATAATTATTTGAACTTTTAATATATAATGAATAGAAACTTTCACTTTTTATTTAATGAATGCTATTCCCAATTTTATAATTTTTAATAAATTTTGAAGTATATCCAAGGAGAAACTATTACGTGATCTAAAATCACTATAATACCAACCATATCTATGTGACATTTAACTAATTATTATTAATCTTTTATATATAAATTGAAAATTTAAATTATATCATATGAAGATTGATGAGGAGCGTGTTGTTACTTGTTCCAAAACTTGTAATAGCACTTTAGTTATTTTTGTTCCCTATACACTTGTAAAAACTGAAGGTATATATGGTGGTGTTTCTGAAAATGACGCGGTGTGAGGCGCGTGGCGAATCCAACCACGAAGCAATATATAAGTGTGGGAGTTGCAGACCTGCAGGTTGCAGAAGTTGGGAATGAGGTTGAGAATGCAGATGTTAGCGACAGTGGGATTAATTCTGAGTCTGTTAGTTGAGATTCAGAGCTTCCACCTCCCCTCCGGTTACCTCTGCTCCCTACATACGGTTCATACTCTCTTTCACTCAACCACGTCATTTAATTTAATATTATAATGCTACACAACACTCCCCTTTCTTAAAATAATCAAATATATATGTATACCTTTGACGTCCGTACAGATTTTACCAAAAACCTAGTTTTCGTATTACTCCTACTCCTCTCCGATCATCAATGGATTTGTTTTGTTACTTTCAGATTCGAACGAAGGATGGTTTCTTATTAGGTCTTTACCGCGTCTCTTCTTCTTCTTCTTCTTCTTCTTCTCTAGGGTATGGAGAACGAGGCCATCCGGTTCTGCTTCTGCATATGGTCACCACCTCATCTTACCATCCTATGCAATACTTTTTTGTTTTCAATTTCCTTATTCCTCTAGTAATTATTTATTTACAATTACTGCTTAAGGTGCAAATGTTTTTCAAACTACACGCCACCGCCATATTTGCATGTGGTTTTTGGGCTAGCTAGGGTTAAAACTTTTCTCCTATCTTTGTGTTTTTTAAGGAAGCAGAGTTCTTTAAGTACTCTCTTGAGAGTGCTGTTAAATGCCTTTTACTTGACGTCATTTTGTTACGATCATATCAGGAAGGTGATGGTTGGTTCCTATATACTCCAGACCAATCTCTTGCTTTCATACTTGTGGATCATGGTTTTGATGTTTGGGTACGAAATGTGTGTGAAACACGCTCCAGCCACGGGGTACGTACCTTCATTTATCCTTAATTTATCTTATAAAACTTAGATAAGTGTAATTATATACATGACAAATAACATCTTTTCTAATATATTTGTTCAACATAATTTTTTATTAATTAAAATTTATTAAAAAGTTGTTTAAATGAATTTTAATGAATATATATATATATATATATATTATATTTTAAATTTATCATATATAATTTATATTATAACAAATTTTATCTTTATTTTTTAATAATTTATTTTAAAATATTTTTATTTAATTAATACATAATTATGATAAATAAAAAATTGATAAAAAGTTAAAAAATATCTACAAATTCTTTTGTTAAAAAAAATTCCTAATACATTTTTACGTAAAATAGATGTTCATATTTAATATATAAAAATTGATTTTAAATATAGAAAAAATAATAATAATTCATGCTTATTATGAAAATTAATTTTTTTTGTAACATTAAAAAAGTAAGTAATATTATTTAATTTTACTAATTTTATTTAAATAGTAATTCATTTTCTAAATTAATATTGATTAAAAAAATTTCATTAAGAATAAAAATAAGTCAATTTGTAATATGATCACAATTAAAGGAGTATTTTGAAAATATTATCATTAAATAAAATAAAATAAATTAAGATTTACTTATATTAAAAATTAATGAGACTTTTTATTTATTTATATTCGAGGTCAAAAGAAGTACATTCAACCTCTCTTACAACTCACTTTTTTTTTCTCTCTTTCTTTCATTTTTCCACGTATCATTTGTTACATCTATCAATTTTTTTCCTTTTCTTTTTATTCTTTGACAAATTATTAAATGGTCCATATTACCGGTCATTTTCCATGCGATTAGGGATGACAAACATACCCGTATCCGCGAATAATACCCGAACCCGTCCCGACTTTGACGGGAAATACCCGGTTTGACCGGGTACGGGTACGGGTACGGGTACGGGTACGGGTACGGGTACGGGTATGTACTTCCCCCCCTGGTCCCCGTACCCGTACCCGTCTCCATTCTCATTTTTAATTTAATACTCACTTTCAATTTAATTATATTAAAAAAAATTTAATATTTTTTTGTGTGATTATTTATTATAACATAAGATAAAGAAATAACCTAATTATAATTAGAATATAATAAAAAAAATAATTTAAAAATATCATTTTTTTTTATAAAAAATAAAAAATAAAAAAATTGACGGGTACGGGTACGGGTACGGGTATACCCGATACCCGACGGGGACGGGGATGTGAATGAAAATCTATACCCGACAGGTATGGGGACGGGGACGGGAATGGGTTTAACTCGCGGAGACGGGAACAAATATCATGAAACCCGTACCCGACCCGCCTCGTTTCCATCCCTACATGCCATACATTTTCAAGTTTTATTATCTCTTTTTTTGTAAATTGGAAAATTTGGATGTATCATACATAAATCAGTCAAAATATAAACATTTGATAGTTATGTACTATGTAATTAATGATTTCTCCTTTTGTTTCTATCCATACAACCCAAAAATGAATGAAATTATTAGATGGTAATGTATATAATTTTAATCCATCTCTACATGACGCAGTACGTCAACATTTTTAATTTATAAAAAATAATAAATAATATTCAATCATGTCTCATATAAAAATTAGTTGTATGATAATAATCCTAAATCATGTAATAGTTTCTCCAAAACTAGGGTTTACTATTAACATTTTTCTCTATGTCTTTAGTTTTTATTTTTGCCCTTAAATTTCATATTTTTTTCTTATGTAATTGGTTTTTTTTTTCTTAATTACACTTTTTATTATCCATATAATTTTGTTATCCAATTTACAAAATTTTACATATTTTATCGTTCCATTAATTAAATATTTGATTGTTTAATCATTAATCACTGATATAACATATTAATTATAAACATGACATATTATATCATATCGTCATTTATATGTCACATTAATTAACAATCATGTCAAACAATCAACTAAACTAATAAAATTACAAAATATATGAAGTTTTAAAAGTTGAATAGCAAAATTTACAAAATCACAAAACATTTAGTTAAAAAAAATACAACTTTTTTTAAAAAAATAAACTATACCAAGTCTAACTACACTAACTCTAATTATTTAAAAACATTATAATCACACTTCTTACATATTACACTAATTTCGTTAAGGTATGCAACTGTAAATATTAAAAATTAAATAAATAGAAAGTTGTGTGGATTCTCAATAAACATAAAAGGGAAGTCGGCGTAACTTCATTTTCTTAGTTAGCGCCTTAGCGGGAAGGTTCTTTTGTCTCGTCTGTAGAGTCAACAAAGATATGTTTGATAAAATAGAAAATTTAGCATTGAAAGTTGAATCCTGAAATTTAGTTATGAAATCACCCTTTATAGCATTTTTGAGATTGGAGTTGGCAGGACCTTGTAGAGATGATGAAGTACATTAATTCCGTAACAAACTCAAAGCTATTTGTACTCGGACATTCACAGGTATCGATGAATTTTGAAACCATCCTTTTCACATGCTCTTTGTTGGTTTTTATAGCATATATTTCCCATCCATCATCGTAGGGTAAAAGTTTCGCTGTCTTCACTCAACTGGAGATAGCAGAAAAGGTTGAAGCTGCAGCTCTTGGACTTGCCAAGGACATTCAACAACTGAACCACAAAAGGTTTGATATATCAGTTTTCCTTCTTTACTTTTTTCTCATTATTTTGCATATGTTCTTCAATGTATTTCTAGCTTTCCTAATTTTCAAACTAACAAATTAACCATCTCTTCCTTTTCCCTCCAAATCCATCCACACTAACATACTACAAGTGAAATTCTTCCTTAATTCTCAACTAACTAACGCAACGGCAATAACAAAGATTGATTTGGATAAAGGCGACAGGGAAAGTTGACGCCATTATTCTGAGACTTAAGGCATCACCAAAAGAAGTATTACAGGAAAAAAATGATAAAATTTCATCTTGAAAATTGAAACTTAAGAGCTTAAGCAGGCCTAAATACGTAATCAGTTCTTTGAGGCTGATTGGAAGCTGAAAACTGGCGTCAAGACACCCACCAGTGGAGTTGGGACTCCGAAGTTCTGTAATGGTACCCAACATTCACACAAGAGGATCATACCTTTCCAGTAGAAATTTCAACACACATCCGCACTATTCCCTGCCTCACATCTTATTCAAACAGCACCTTTTCTTTCATCATTTCACCCAATCACTAGACATAAGTCAAACAATACTTGGCTTATTCCATTAGTTTGGTTCCACTTAATGGTCATGGCCTTTGCACAGTTGAAACCTCACGCTTCTTTGGCTCTCATTTTTGCAGAACCAGGTTCAAAAGTACCACTCCCACATTGCTTCATCATAATGATTTGGCACATGCTGAAGCTAAGGCCAAAAATCCTACACTTTCTTCGTTTCAGCCTCAACAAACTTCAAGGCAACAATTTCAGGTTCTTTTGTATGACCCATTAACCAAGTTCTTAGAAGACCCTTTTAATTACTACGGTCTGCTAATATATGAACTTGGGTGAATAATCTGGGTTAGGTGCACCTCACTTATCCATGAAAGGACGTAAAATTAAAGGGTTAAATTTTGTGGTTTTGTTAGTTAACGCAAGAATCGTGGAGAAAAGTGCACATTAGTACTGTTTCAAGGTTGCAGAATCTGCTCCTTATATGCTAATAATGCTCACACTAAACTGCACTTTGAAAATGGTATTAGAACTTGACTCCAGAATCTGGAACTTGTGATCCGCTAACACTTGATGTAACAAGCTCACAAGACTTTGAGTACAACTACAAGCCCAAGACTGATTTGCTCAAAGTTGTTACAATATGCCAATATTTGTGACAGCTGCAACTGAGGCAGTGGCAACTAATCATTCTTGGGTGGCTGCAAATCAAGTCCATCATTTTCCACTTACTTGATTTTACTACTGCATGTTTCACAATGAAGTACACGTATTTGGGAAATTGTCTCTAAATATACTTTATTGTTTCAATAGTTATTATGACATTGCACTGCAGGATATTGCTATGGCTTTGCTATTTGTAATAGGATATGCAGGCATCATATTAGAACAATATCTAGCCTTCAATAAAAGCGGAGTGGGACTGTTGATGGCTGTAAGCTTATGGGTGGTTCGGAGTATTGGGGTAAATGTCTATTCTTTTTTGTGCTTTGACTTTTGAGATTATTGGTTAATTCTTGATTAATGATTAGTTAGAACTTTTTGCGTTATTGGTCAAACTTTTGAGAAGAGGATAAAGTAAGGATTTGGAATGGGGAAACCTCCTCTCCCTCCTAAATTTTTTTATGTACCTGTGCTTTGAATAGATCAACTTTCTTTGGCTGAACCATACACATGTTGGGAAACATTGTTACACTTACACTTGATGTGATTTCATGACCTAAGGAATCTGAGTTGATTTCATTCATACTAAACAACATTCTAGCTTGAAGATTGCGTATTTTTATTCTTAATTGATTCGTCTACAGGCTCCATCAACTGATATAGCTGTTTCAGAGCTAATCTATGCATCTGCGGAAGTCGGTGAAATAGTGTTTTTCTTGCTTGGTGCAATGACCATTGTTGAGGTAGTTGACGTTCATCAGGGATTTAAGCTGGTTACAGACAATATAACGACCCGAAGCCCACGCCTTCTCCTGTGGGTGGTATGTGCTTTGAGTTTCACTGCATTGTTTTGTTGACCATAGTAAAAGATGTTCCTATCAGATTCTTTGCGAATTTAGCTTGGAAATTTGACTACATTAGTTGTTCAACATTATGGTTTATGTTCAAATTTGGATGACACACAATAGATAGAGCTTAGATTCAAGAGCTCCTTCTTAAAAAGGGTGCAGTATATTTATTTAGGCTGTGCATCAATGACAGCAAACTTTTCACTGTTTTATACTTAGAAATATCAATATTTTAAGAGTAAAAGGGCATCATTAACAGAGTCGACAAGACCAAATTCTTCCTTCCCCAAACTACAATTCTAAATTTTCTGTAGTTTGCATTACTTTTTTTTTACCTCAATAATGGAAATTGACAAATTACTGTTGAATTTGCAGATTGGATTTGTTACATTCTTTCTCAGTTCAGTTCTAGACAGTCTGGCATCCACCATAGTCATGATTTCTCTGTTGCGGAAATTAGTACCTCCAACAGAGTATCAGAAGTATGTTAGTCTTTTGTGTTAGCTTTCAGTGTAATAGTTTGCCCTTGAGGTGAAGTACTAAATATGACCATATTTTCTACAATACCACAATAATGATTGACTGGAAACATTCATGCATTAACTGAGGTTTCAATCATTAGACCTTACTGGGAGAAATTTTATATTATTACTCTTGCTTTTTCAACTCTCTTACAAAATCAGAATATTTAATTGATTTGAGAGATCTTGATTAATTTTCCTCCAGAAATTAGTTTTTGATCATTTCAATATATCCTTTCCTGCTGTACTTATAATACATAGGTGACTTGAAATTTGCGCTTGTGTTTGTTGAGGGGATAAACATTCAAACATGTCTGTGAATCTTCTAAATTTGCTGCATCTATTATTCTCCAGCTATTTGGAGGTTTGACTACACTTCGTCATATTGTCAAGAAGTAGCTGATCTGGATTATATTGACAGGATTTTGGGAGCTGTTGTTGTAATAGCAGCAAATGCTGGTGGTGCATGGAGTCCTATTGGTGCTGTTACCACCACTATGCTGTGGATACATGGTCAAATATCAGCTTTGCAAACAATAAAGGTTATCTGTTGGAAAATTCTTCCAGTGTGATAAATCTGTTTGGATCATGTGAAAAGTTTGCGTTAAACTACTACATAAATTATAGTGGAATAATGAGTTAAGCAATTGTAGCATCCTAAGATATTCTTTGGATATAGTGATTAGAATTTAGAAATATATCATTAAAAATGTTAGTAACACACATTTTGACGTACCATTTCCAACACACTCTTTACTATTGGGTGAATTCATGTGGGAATCATTAAATGAGTGGGTCCTGCTCCCCTTTTAGTGAGTCATACATGAATTTCACCAAATAATAGAAAGTGTGTCGCTACTTGCTAGCCTTTTCTCATACATAATTTATGGCCATAAATTAGGATTTCCTTGGTCAAAGTGTTTCTGTTACTTATCTTTGACTGCATAAACACTTTGGATTCAACTCAGTGCAGTGCGAAATAAACAAGTATCCGTAATTGCATTTTCTTTATTTACAGGGTTTGTTTGTACCTTCAGTCATTTCTCTAGCTGTTCCTCTGGTTTTGATGTCCCTGACTAGGTAGGCATTCTTCTTCCTACACTGCAAAGGTCATCCACAAAAGCTGATTTGAATAGTGAGATTTAGCTTAACATATTACAATTTAGATGATGTTAGTACTTCACCTTTTCTTCTTCAGTGGAGTCAATGGGAAGGGACAAAATTCTCCTGACGTCTTTGCCTCTGAACAAATTGCTCCTCGAGGGCAGCTTGTTTTCTCAGTGAGTTTTGGAGCTTTAATTTTTGTGCCAGTGTTCAAGGCCCTCACAGGTTTACCTCCGTACATGGGAATGCTGCTTGGACTTGGCGTGCTTTGGATCTTCACTGATGCTATCCACTATGGTGAATCTGAAAGGCAGAAGCTAAAAGTGCCACAGGCTCTGTCAAGGATAGACACTCAAGGAGCACTATTTTTCCTGGGAATTCTATTATCCGTTAGTAGGTAGTGAGGAAACATTTTAATTTTTCTGCCGCGATAAGTTTTGACGATAACCATGTGTTCATGCATTTAAATCAATAATAAAACGCATCAAGTCATCAACAAAAAAGTCATTGTCCATTTGAGTAGTAGGGAATTTGCCATGACTCATTTAATAGATCTGACATCCACAAAGTCTAATAATTCTGTAAAGATGATATGTTCTGGTTTACCTTTTTCTACATTATGAGAAGCATATGCTTGTTCTTTTTCATGACCTGTGATTACATATTCTTTCATGACATATCTTTAAATTCCTAGTTACTCATGTTAATCGGTTGCATTTGATCAATTTTAACCATAATGTTCGCCAGCCTGGAGGCAGCAGGGATTCTTCGGGAAATAGCAAATTACTTTGATGCACGTGTTCCAAGTAGTGAACTTATTGCAAGTGCTATTGGAATGATATCTGCAGTAATAGACAATGTTCCATTGGTTGCTGCAACAATGGCAATGTATGATGTCTCTTCTTTCCCTCAAGATTCTGAGTTCTGGCAATTGATTGCATTATGTGCTAGTACTGGTGGATCAATATTAATTATTGGCTCAGCTGCTGGAGTTGCATTCATGGGGATGCAAAAGGTGGACTTTGTTTGGTACTTACGGAAGGTATTACTATTTCCTTCTGTACTGTTAGACATTTTGATGTGATAAAATGTTGGATCATAGTTCATGAGAGAAGTCCTTTGTGTCCTTTTTGCAGGTTAGTGGCTTTGCCTTAGCAGGGTATGCTGCTGGTATTGCTACCTATTTAGCGCTTCATAAACTCAACATCTCCCAACCAACCCCAACTGAGGTTTCTTCCCTTTCTAATTCCTAAATCGACAATTCGGACTTCATTCAATTCGATTTTCATGGTATCAAAAGCAGCATAGTTTGTTAAAATAATGTATATAAGTCAACCAGTTGTATAAGTTGTCATGGTTAAGATTTTTATGCGCAAAAAATTAGGTATAGAGTTAATCTTAATTATCTATGTAAGCATGAATGGTTTAGATTTTTATTTTTTTTATATATCTTCCATGTGCCCTGTATATATAAAAAGTATGTTAACCATGCACTTGCGTCAGTTGCACGTGTCGCACTTGTCTTACGTTTGTATTAAAATAACATAAATATCATAATAAGTTAACAATTTCATCCATATAACTTACATTTATCTATTTAGTTATATATTCATATATTAAATAATGTATTCTTGAAAATAACTTGTGTTATTGTACTTTATTATTAATATTTGTAGCAAAAATATAGAGAATTTGAAAATTTCTAAAGCAATTGTCATCCAGACCAAAAATATAAAAAAAAAATGCAAATTAAAAAAGTAATTGATTAAAAAGTGCACCCTTAAAAATAAGGTTGTAGGTTCAAATCTAACAAAATGCAATTATAGACTTTATTGTGTATTTGGATGAAGGATTTTACAAATTTAAGAAATTTAAAATTTTTGGTATTTAAATTATTTTAATTTCAATTTTTATCATCTTAAAAATATTTTATTTAAATAAATTAATTTTAAAATTTTAATTTGAGTATCATAATTTGATTATATCATGATAAAATTAATTTAAAAAATATATTTATATGTTAAAATTTTTAAATTAAATTTTATAAAAATAAATACTAACTAATTTATTTATTTTAAAAATTAATATGAAATAATATTTAATAATATTTAAAATATTTTAAGTATTTAATAATTAAAATAATGAAGTGATAAAATAAAATATATCAATAAAATTAAAAAAATAAACATGAGAAATTTTAAATTTTATTATTTTAAAAATTTTCATAAATATTTAAATTTAATTTTTTTTTTAACTTTTCGTATTTTATCTCAAAAAACTTTAAATTTTTAAAATAAATAAATTACTTTATTTAAATTCTTCGTCCAAACACTTTTCAGATCGAGAATTACAATGAAATAATAACATATGAATTTTACATATGAATTTTATCATTGTGTATTAGGATTAAAACAAATATAGAATCCATAAGCAAAATAGACACTAATTAATTAAAGATCCAACAATTGTCATTACGGTTTAGGGAAACAGGCTTTCCCTGCGCTAACTTTTTTCACAACTAGGCGAATAATTTATGTTATGTTACCCGCATGATAACAAGTGTAAATTTAAAATATTCTTAGCAAGTGATCTTTATTTTCTTTATTTTTCAAATAAAAAGGCAAAATGAACAAGCAAGAACTCGCTAAAAAACAGACTAAGACTATCGAATGCACAACAAAATTATTCTTTTCCTCGTCCCCTACAACTACCGCTACACTCAATTGATGATGATACATCAAAATCGGGCTCATCCGGCAACCATGCCCAATCCATATTACCAAAAAAAAAAAAGGAAAAGGAAAAAATAATAGAGACTAAAGTTTCATTCATCTTACAACTTGAGGAAAACGAACTCTTCGACTGCAGGAACTTCTCCAATCCTCTTCAAGGATTCCTTGCTAGGTTGTTCGTCCACTCCAATTGCCATTACAGCTTGCTTGCGTGGAGCAATCCTTCCTACACTCATGAAACTCACGTTCACGTTCTCCTGACCCAAAATGCTCCCAACCTTTCCGATCATGCCTGGTTGATCTACCTGCCTACACAGTATAATGCTACCTTCCAAACTCACGTCAACTTCAAAAGAACCAACCTTTGTCAGATGGGGGATACCATCTTTCACCCGTCCCTCAACCTTGATCTCCCCAGAATCAGATATGGCACTAGCAAATCGGGATTCTACATTAGCAATCTGGACCTGGATGAATTCAAGTGGATTCTCAGGTGAACCATCAAGAATAACTTTCTCTTCGGTTATCCTGATTCCTCTTTGCTTAGCAGTGAAATCAGCATTAACTAAGTTCACAAAAACACTGGATATGGGCTCAATCAGACCCTTGGTTATCATGGCACGGAGAAGACGAGTATCAAGATCATCAGGGGCCCTAGAGGTAGCATAAGAGACCTTCACTGTTTTTACACCGCTTCCTCCTGCTACCAGCTGGACAGCCAGCCTACCCAGTTTCTCAGCAAGATCAACGAATGGTTTTAATTCTGTTAACACCTGCACTCACAAAAGAAAGAAATATATGTGAAACTTGGCCGACCCCTTTTGTAAACCAAGCATAATTCAATAATCACTCTATATTCTCATGTGCCCACTAAAGTGGAGCACTGAATGAAGTCCAAATTTTCAAATTTGATGATTCAAGAATAAAAATTTCCCTGTATTTCCAATTGCTCCAATCGGATTTATCAAACCAAACTTTGACATTTCATTAAGCATTTAAGTACCTCTGAAGGAACCATTGGTGCATTGACTGCAGTGGCAGCAAGCTCCCCATTCAGCGCCCCAACAACAGCTTCTGCTATTTCAATAGCCACACCTTCCTGGTCATCATTTTCAAGAGTTTCAAAAACAACAGTTACAAGGAATACAAGGAAATGTCCATGATCATGTCCAAATGCTTTAAGTAACTTACCTGAGCTTCCATGGTGCTGGCACCGAGATGAGGTGTTGCAGTAACCAGCTCATGCATAATCAACTTGCTGTCTTTGGGGGGTGGCTCCTCAGTGAAAACATCAAGAGCAGCCTGAAAAAACACAGCACAAATGCATAATCATTATTTCATCCAATTGTTTACTTTCAATCAGAATGAACAAACTGTTGATGCTTCCAAATGTGAGATGGCAAGAACCTGAGCAACAATGCCAGAATCCAGCGCCCTAACAAGCGCATCCTCGTCAATGACTCCTCCACGAGCAACATTGACTATGCGAACGCCCTTCTTCATCTTCGCAAAAGTCTCATCGTTGAGCATCTTGGACGTAGCAGCTGTGAGAGGCATGTGCAGAGAGATGAAATCCGCAGAGCCAATGGCCTCATCAAAGCTCACAAGCTCAACACCAATGGCCCTAGCACGGTCTGCAGGAGCATAAGGATCATGCGCAATGACATTCATACCAAGCCCCCTGGCACGCCGTGCAACTTCAGAACCAACCTTCCCAAACCCTAACACAGCCAGTGTCTTCCCAACAAGGGAAACTCCAACATACTTATTCCTCTGCCACTTCCCTGGTTTATCAAAGACATCCATCTTAATTCATCAAAGCAACAATAAACACAATCCACAACACAAATCCAAAGAATAAATCATAACCTAATGTTATATCTATCAGCCACATACAAATTAATATAAATTTCGTTACAAATCAAGCATAGTACAACAACAGGATCCAAATCTAAATGCTATTTATTGAAAGAGTAACTCACCAGCCTTGACGGACGCGTCGGCCTGAGCGACGTTTCTGGCCATGGCGGCGAGGAGCGCGATGCCGTGCTCGGCGGCGGCGACGGTGTTGGCGGTGGGAGCATTAACGACCAAGCAGCCATGCTCGGTGGCGGCGGCGAGATCGACGTTATCGATTCCGACGCCGGCTCTTCCAACGACCTTGAGTCTGCCGGCGGAGGACTCGAAGACCTCGCGCGTGACCTTGGTGCCGCTGCGGACGATGAGGGCGTCGCAGAGCGAGATCTTAGTGCAGAGCTCCTCGGGGCTGAGGTTGTAGGAGCAATCCACGTTGGCGAAGTCCTTGAGCAGCTTCAGCCCCGCGTCGCCGAGCTTCTCCGCCACGAGCACCGTGGGTTTGGCGTCGAGCGCGGCGGAGACGAGAAGGACGAGAGGGCGGCGGCGCGGTCGGAGCGAGACGGAGAAAGCGGAGGAGAGAGGAAGCTTGGAGGAGAGAGAGAGTGAGAGAGTGGGGAATCGAAGGGTTTGGGATGAAGCGGTGGCCATTATTGCGATGAAGAGTATGGTGTTTGCGACAAGTGAGAGTGTGGGGTTTTAATTTTTATAATGATAGGGTTTATCACTCTCTTTCTCTTTTTCTTCTTCTTTCTTCACTATTTATTTCTTAAAGACATTCAAGCTCTTCCAAATCCACGCGCTCTTCCTCAATTCAATCAGTCTGCATAACCACCGTTTCCCGCAAGTGCCAATCTTGTCTCTGCCTTAAAGTATTTTTTTTTATCATTTATTTTATTTATATTTTAAGTAAAATATACGGATGCATAAAGTATTTTTTTTACGCTGATATAGTATAGAATAAATCATTAACCTTACTCCCCGATTGTGATGAATGTTTATACGAAAAATACTTTAAAAATTTCTAAAGTATAGTGAAAAGGCAGGAAGTTTTATTGAAGAAACTTGAAGTAGTTAAGTTGGAGCATAATTGGTGGAGGTTATGAGTTATGAGATACAGGAACAGAATGCCACGCTCTCCTTGTCGCGTGAGTCAGATATCACCACCAACCCAAATGAGTAATGAATAAACATCAACCTGGGTGGGACCCCTTTGGTTGGTATCCTTTTATTTTATTTTATTTTTCAACTGTGGTTTGGTGGCCATAGGTTTTCAATTTTATTTATTATTTTTATCAATTTAATATTATTGAAATTATTCTATTTTATTTTCTTATAATTACAATGTCAATTTTATTATAATTTTATAGAAATAGAATTTTAAATTAATTAATTAATTATTAATTAAGTAATTCAAATATTTAATAAATTATTCAGAATAAATAACTAAATTAATTAAATACTATTTATTATGATAATTAAATTAATGAACATAAGTCATAACAGTTGATCAAATATTATAATTATTTTAAATAATTTTGTGATTTAAATATATAAAAAATTAATGTTATACTATACATAACTTTTTTTATGTACTTTGTATTCTTACACATTAGTAAATTTAATTTTTCCTTTTTATATATTCTTGTATTATTTCTTTGAAATAAGTTTTTGTCTTTTTATTTTATCTGAATATCAACTTTTTATACAAAATATCAAAATTTTTAATTCTAGATTTTGGTATTTGAAATTTGTTTTCTGACATTATTTTACAACTTATACAAATTGAGTTTTTGAAATCTTTTTTTCTTTGCCAATAGCATCTCCAAATTTACTAGGTTAGACACAAATCATCCTCACAGTAGTTTAACTGTCACTAAATAATTTTCTTGCACAATAAAATTAAACATAATTTTTTTTCATTAAATAGATTATTCTCATAATGTATCAGAGCAAAATAGTTAATTCAATAATAAAAAAAAGTCTCATTGTAATATATATATATATAT